GAATAGAAAAAAATGAGTCTTTTTTTAAAGATTTTGTTTATTTTTAGAGAGGAAGGGAAGGAAAGAAGGAGAGAAACATCAATGTATGGTTGCCTCTCGTGAGTCCCCTGTTGGGAACTGGCCTGCAACCCAGGCATGTGCCCTGACTGGGAATCGAACGGCGATCATGTGGTTTGCAGACCCACGCTCAATCCACTGAGCTACACCAGCCAGGGCTTAAATTAGTCTTTATCTAATAAATAGAATTTGCAAAAAGCCTATGGTATACTTATTAGTAAAATATTGAAAACTTTTAGCCTGATATTAAGAGACAAGTAAGCCCACTATTATCACTTCTATTCAGCATTTTATCAGCATTCTATAGTAAATATGACCATGCAAGAAAAATGAATGTTGTAAGAATTTTAAAGAGAGAAATAAAAAGTAATTCCCAAATAACATAATTGGGTACATAGAAAATCTAAAAACAATGACTGATAAACTATTATAATTAAATAAGTGAACTCATCAGTCTTTGAATACAGAGTTGATATAAAAACATCACTTTGTTTTTCGATACCAGCAACAAAAACTAAGATGGAATTTTAAAAGTGACATTTACAATAGTTTGAGAACATCCAGAAATAAATTTTATGGAAGGTGTAGACAAATTTTAACAGAAGTTAAAGAAAACCTAAATAAATGGGATATACCATGTTTATAGATCAGAGGACGTTGATTCTCTCCGAAGTATCTATAGTCATGTAAATCTAGATGAATCTCTGGAGACTTGTGTGTGCATGTATGAAATTGACAAACTGATTCTAAAATTTATATGGAAATATAAAAGACAAAGACTAGACTAGATGATCTAGATGATCTAGACGCTCAAAACTGGATTAATTTATTGCACTGGAAATCAAGACTCATGAAGCTGCTCTAGTTCAGACACTGTGACACTGGTGCACACAGACCAACGGGCCAGTGGAACAGACACGCAGACATGACAGCCCAGGGACAGACGCCTCCACGGACGCTCGATCTGTGCCAAAGGCAGAGCACTGGGAACTGGAAAATGTTTTCAATAAATTGTGCAAGTCAACTAGCTAATTGTGAGATGTAAAATAGTAAAACTTCTGGAGGATAACACAGGTATCTTCATGACCTTGGTAATTATTTCCTCAATGGGGCATAGTAGGCACTATGAAGGAAAATACTGATAAATTGGACTACATTAACAATAAAAACTTGTTTTCATCAAAATATGTCAAAAGTAAAATGCATATAACCAAAACTTTACATAACCAGAATATATTTTTTACTCCTATAAATCAATAAGGCAGTAAAAGTGGCAAAAGACTTAGACAATAGCCAAAGGCCACTTAGTATAAAAAAAGATGCTCAGCATCACTAGCACCAGGGAAGTACAAATTAAAACAATACCATCACACATTTACCAGAAAGATAAATTTAAAAACATTGACAAAAGACAAGATGGAGGCACAGGTAAGCATGCCTCTTGCCTCCTCATACGACTACAGCAAAAATTACTACTAGACTATAAAACATGTATCATCCAAAATTGTCAGAAACGTGAGCTGTATGGAAGTCTGATGACCAAGGATTTAAAGAAGCCACATTCATCCAAATAGGTAGGAGGGGTGGAGAAGCAGAGAGGCACAGAGACACGGATTAGGCAGCCCCACATCCACGTGTAGTAGATAAAAATAGGGAGGGATAGCTCGAGAGTGAGGGATCCCAGCCCCAGACCAGACCACCCCTCAGGATTCCAGCCTAGGAAGATAAGTCCCCGTAACTTATGGCTGTAAAAACCAGTGAGGGTTGGGGGCGGCAAAAGAAACTGCAATATTCTGAAGAGATTCCTCTTCAAGGGCCCAAAATGGACTTAGGAGTCACACAAACCCACCCCTTCTGGGATTCAGCACCGGGCAACCGCTAGAATAGCACCAGTGGCATGTGAGGAGAAATGCCACTTTAAGGGACTGGCAACAGGGTAAGTGTTGAGGGATAGCTTCCTCCCAGGCAAAACTCCAGAGGTCAGGCAGTGGACTGTCCTCTCTCCGAGCTCTCCCCCATACAAAGCCACAGAGCAGTGACACAAGGTACCCTGCCATGGCAATTACCTAAGGCTCAACCCCATACAACTTACAGGTACACTTTTCTATAACAGGCCACGCTACTAACACAGGGAGTCAAAGCAGCTCTAGCTAATACACAGAAACAAACAGAGGGACGCTGCCAAAATGAGGAGACAAAGAAATATGGCCTAAAAGAAAAAACAAAACAAAACTTGAGAGAAAGAACTAAACAAATGGAGATAAACAACCTATCAGATGCAGAGTTCAAAACACTGGTTACCAAGATGCTCCAGGAACTCATCAAGTACTTAACAGCATAAAAAAAAACCCAGGCAGAAATGAAGGTTACACTAAGTGAAATGAAAAATTTACATGCAACCAACAGTGGAGGGGATGAAGCCAAGAATCAAATCAACAATCTGGAACACAAGGAAGAAAAAGCATTCAATCAGAACATTAAGAAGAAAAGAGAATCCAAAATAAACAAGGATAGGCTAAGGAACCTCTGTGACATCTCTAAATGTAACCAACATCCGAACAATAGGGGTGCCAGAAGAATAGGAAGAGCAAGAAATTGAAAAAATAATGAAAGAAAACTTCCCTAATTTGGTGGAGGAAATACACCTGCAAGCCCAGGAAGCACAGAGTACCAAACAAGATGGATGCAAAGAGGCCCACTCCAAGATAAATCATAATTAAAATGCCAAAAGCTAAAGACAGAATCTTAAAAGCAGCAAGAGAAAAAGCAGAGTTAACTACAAAGGAGTTCCCATAAAAATGTCAGCTGACTCCTCAAAAGAAACTTTGCAGGCTAGAAGGGACCGGCAAGAAGTATTCAAAGTGATGAAAAGCAAGGATCTACAACCTAGATTACTCTATCCAGCACAATTATCATTTAGAATAGAAGGGCAGATAAGGTGCTTCCCAGATGAGGTAAACTAAAGGAGTTCCTCATCGCTGAACCATTATTATATGGAATGCTAAAGGGAATTATGTAAGAAAAAGATCAAAATGATGAACACTAAAATGGCAATAAATTCACAACTATCAACAATTGAATCTAAATAAGCAAACAAGCAGAACAGGAACAGAATCATAGAATATGGAGATCATTTGGAGAGTTCTCAGTTGGGGGAGAAGGGGGAGAATGGGAGCAAAGGTGCATGGATTAAAAATCATAAATGGTAGCTACAAAACAGACAGGGGGAGGTTAAGAATAATACAGGAAATGGAGAAGCCAAAGAACTTATATGCATGCCCCATGGACATGAACTAAGTTGGGGGGCTGCTGCAGGGAGTGGGGGTACTGGGTGGAGGGGACAAAGGAGGGAAAATTGGGACGCTTATAATAGCACAATCAATAAAATTTTTTTAAAATAACAAATATGTTGACAAAACAAATCTTGACAAAAATATGGGCAACTGGGACTCTTATAAACCGTTGGTGGAGTTTAAATTGGTGTAAGTGCTCTGGAAAACTGTTGGGCAGTAGCCAATAAAGATATATCTATCTATTCCCATGACCCCATAATTTCACTCACAGAAAATGCATTCCTGTGTGCATCAAAAGACATATACATAAATGTTCCTGGTAGCAGTGTGGGTAGTAGCCAAAAACTGGAAACAACTCAAACAACTAGTGAATAAATTCTGAGGTTATTCATACAATAAAATACAATAAACTGAGCAGTGAAAATGATAAACTACAGCTACAACTAATTTCCCTTTCTATCCTATCCCTGCCATATTACAGCCCTTCATTCAATACTAGCCTTTAGAACACTGGTTAAATTGTTCTATGTATCCACTTCACACCTCTTTCTTTAAGTGGGTGGGGTAAAAATGAGCTTATATGCCTCGTAGTTAAAAAAGGACTGCCATCGCAGTTACACACAGTGTCTAAACCCAGTCTCCGGAGAATTTATTCTAAGGTCAAGTACCCTGCCCAAACTCTTTAATCATTTTAGGTAATTGTCACTTGGGTTTCTCCCCCCTCCTTCTCCAGCCCTCATTCTTTTTACACCCTTTAAACAGGTAAGAGCCATTCTGAGCCTGAGGCCCTATGCAAACTGTGTAAGAAACCAGACTGTACCTAAGGCAGCCAGCTGACATGAGGAAAAAGAAATTACTTCTCAGCGCTCCCCCTGGTGGTTTCAGTGAATTTCAACCTTATAAACTACTCAGCACCAAACACTAGATGCCCATCTGTTCCCTTCTTGGCCAACTGTACATTCCCAGAAGGTGACCAGGAAATAACTAATGTGGAAAGGCACAAAGGAAAGACATTACAAGACTATCAAGTACAGGGGAGCAGTTGTTAAAAGCACAAGTGAGACCACCAAGGGTTCGCGTCCTGGCTCCACTACTTAGGACACCTATGACCTTGTACAAACCACAGTCCTCAAACCAACACCTCAGCAGTGTTGCAATAAAAAAAATAATATAACTGCACAGTACTCAATCATGACAGGGATTTAAAAGAGACAATTGGTCTATAATTTTAAACAGTAAAAGGTAAAATGGGTAAAAAAATTGATCAATTTCCATGAAACGAATCTCTGCAGGAACTTTAAAACACAAAAGATACCTCTGAATTTGTGGAAAAGATGACCAAACCATTCATTTAACCAAAGCATTAAAAAGTTAAAATTTCTTTTTGCCTCCTAAATTTGACAGATTACAAAGTGGTTACATGCAATACAACTAGCAAATGAGATGAAAAGGAACCGGCCTCCTCTAGGTACCACCCAAAGATGGGCTGGCGCCGCTCGCACTCCATCCCTCCCCATTGGGCTTCTCACCCTTTAACCTAACCCTTGTTTCTTTAAAAAAAGAAAAACTGAAACATGGCAAATGTGTACCGAGTTCATTCACTTCCAAAATAAAAAAAGGTGTATTTAAATAAAGGCCATACTGCACACCAAAGGTAAAACAAATACTTTTATTGCACATTTATAAAATCTGCATAGTTGTATCAAGTGTTCTTCCCTCCCACACTTTCCTCATTCATTGTAAAATTTCATTAAAGCACCCAAGCTGGAGGCAAAAATGGTCAATGGGACACCCAAAAATGGTCAATGGGATATTCCTCTCTTTACATACACATATGTAGAGGGTTTTTCCCCCTCTTTTTACATGCCCATATCCCTTATTCTTTCAAAACAAAAAGGGTAAGGGCAACAAAATTTTCTTTTGGGCTAGCATCAGTCGCAGATATGTTTCTGACAATTTTCACAACCTAGAAAATTTTACCTAAATGGTTAATGACAAAATGCTGTATCATTAACCATAACTTTGATCTCTGTTTCTATGAGCTCGTTTCTGTTTTGTTTAGTTGGGTGGTAGTGGGAGGGATGGGTGAAGAAGAAAAGGGAAATACAGTCAATAATATTGGGATAAGTTTGTATGGTGACAGATGGGTACTAGGCTTAGTATGGCGATCACTTCGTAAGGTACAAAAATGCCAAATCACTATGTTGTACACTGAAACTAATATAATATTATACACCAACTAAACTTAAGTTAAAAAAATAAAGGCTCCCTCACCAAAAAAAACAAAAACAAAAAAACCCACTACCTTTAGTCAAGTTTTGCAATGTTAGTCCATCTAAAGTTCTTAATGCTTTTCTTTCTTTCACTGAGGACTGAGCATGAGGTTTTCTGGTTTATTTTAAAATATAAAATGAAAGAGAGAGAAGAAAGAAAGGAAAGGCAGCTTTCATTTCACTTTGCAGCGTTTCACTGCCACATGACTTTACAGCCTGCCCGAGGCAACGGGCAGAGGTGTATCAGCATCCTGGTCTGTCGTCTCCGGCCCAGGGCCAGGCAAGGTTTACATTTTTCATCTCTTGCAGTTAAAAATTTTCAAATGTCATCTGTATTAACGAGTAGCTATTCATCTGGTTCAGGTTCTGATGAATCACCCTTCTACTCTGCTGTCAAAAATATTTGTGCCTGAAGGATAATTTAAAACATGGTAAAAGGCTAGAAAAGTCCAAGCATTCTCATAGGTGCAAGAGGACATTTCAGGTCTTCTGCATAACTCAACATTTTCATACACTGGCTCCTGCCTTTTTCAGTACAATTGCTTTAGTGATTCTGTTCCTAAAAAGTGCAATTTTATTTTCAATCCTTTGTTGTACACACAGCATGGCTGGGATCTAGATCTGAATCTTACTTTTTCACCTAATTCCTTTCCCAAGGTAAACACCATGGTAACAGACTTCTGTCCAAACAGGGAGGCAATCAAAGGACCGGGACGGGCCTTGAACGTGTGACGGCTTATTTCACTGTCACAGTTGAAATCCCTTGAATTGACTCCATGACAGCGGCAAATCGGCTGCAAAGGTCATAGGGAGAATTGGGTCGAATAGTTGGAGGCTCCTTCAAGACAATGATTTCTGCAGAAGGATCTAGAAGCCTGGGTAGAAACTCCCCTAAGCACAGCTGCAGATTTTCTGTGGAGAGAGAATGGATGGTTACATCTCAGACAGCTCGAGAGATGTCTGGGTAAAAACTAAGTCTGCAACTGTATGAGAAAGCTGTCCGTATAGCTTATTACCCAACTTCAAAGCATTATTCTGGCCAGCTAACAAGTGGTCATTCCTTCAGACCAAACTGGGAGCAAAGACCTACTTGCCAAATATACCAAAGCTTTATTTTAGGCCACTGCTTTAAACTATCTGACATATGGCAGACTAACACTATATATTGACTTCATTATGAACACATCTTCCAATCAATCATCCTTTTAAACTTTGAGAAAGTAGATATAAAGCTCTGTGTCATAAACATAATGGTGCTATGTTCTTTCAAATCATTAAAATACAGTGTGTACACAGAACATTAAGTAAAGCTATACATCACACATGATCTAAACAAAAACTGAAGACATTAAAGGGAAATTCATACCTACTAATTATAGTAGAATTTTTAAGTAACTATAAACTTGAACACTTGAACAAGTCAATGGAATATCTTTACATCAGTGAGACACTAATGAAAAGATCATATTAGAATATACACCAACTTTCTAAGTCTACCAAACTCACTTAAAAATAACTAGTTTTAGGCTCCCTTCCTAAAATATGTTGGGCAAGAATATTCCATTTACTAATTGATTCATCTCAAAGGCATCACAGTTGATATGATTGTCTTGCTACTTCATGCCAGTGGAAAATTTAGTGATGGCACCATAATCAAGCTGCCTAAACAGATTTTGATTATCTTTTTTTATCCTCACCTGAGGACATGCTTATTGATTTTTAGAAAGAGAGAGGAAGGGAATGAGAGAGAAACAGAGAGGAAGATCGATCGGTTGCCTCCAGTACGCACTCCAACCAAGGATGAACCTACAACCCAGACATGTACCCTGATTAGGCATCAAACTCACGACCCTTCAGTTTACAGGACAATGCCACACCTCCCAGGGCTACATTTTGTTTTTTAAATGATAAAATTAGATTTCAGATTTTGGCAAATGAAATTCCTAGAGGGCAGTGGTGCTTTCAAACAGGGTTTCCTGGTCTTCTGTGAAGATGCTTCAGCAGCCGCCAAAGAGGTAAGGGGTTGTGGCAGGGGCGGAGAGGAACAGAGGCCCAGGCTGCCATCCTTTGTTTTAATAGAGAAGATCCACTTTTAACTCATTTATATCCCAGGGGGTTCCAATAATCCCTTTAAAAATCTTGGCAACCAGTGCTATACAGTGCTATAATTCTCAGAAGCCTTAAACAATATACCTGCAATATCCTGTCCAAGGTAAGAGCACCAATGCTTTCTCATGATCTCAATGGCATCCAGGTCATCCTTGGAGATGTCATTATTGATGATAAGGTGAATACAGGGAATGATCAACTCATTCATAACCTTAATACCCTCTGTTACAGAGTGGTCATCATTTGTTTCAAAGAGAGAAGCCGCTTTGGTATTCAGCTCCTACAAATAAAAGGAAAAAAAAAGAGTCTGAGAAAGGTATCTATTTTAGAAGATCCTAGCAAGTGTTGCCAAACTTTACTGCGCATTAGAGTTGCCTAGGGAATGTCTCTAAAAATCACTCTGTACCCAGGTCCCACTCCATAAGCTGCTGTAACTGGAATGCAGGGGACCTGGGCACTGGGATTTTTTTCAAAGCTCCCAAGGTGATTCCCATGCAGCTAAGCCTCTGACCCACAAGCCTAAACTTACAAGATAGTGCCTAATACCTGCTTCCACCAAAAGGCCTATTCATTGGTTCTCAATCTCCACTGAGCATCAGAATCACCTGCAGAAGACATGCAGATGCCCAGGAGCCAGTTTACCAGCCTGGGGAGGATCTGTGCATCACCTTCGTGTGGATGTTCCCTAGGGGATTCTGACCCACACTGAGGGTAGAGAGCAAGCCATGGAAATAACCTAAATCACTACTGCTGCCTACCTGCGGAAACTGAGCAGGGTATTTCACAAGTATTCTGCATTTGGTGATTAAAAAAATTAAAGTATGACTCTAATAAAATTCAGATCCATCAAGTATACAAGCCCCTTTTCTTCAGCTTCAAAATGCCCTGCCACGACTATAACTAATACAGAAATCAAGCATAAATGAGAAAAATGAAGCTCTTGAGGTCACTATACATCATGACTTCATTCCTCCACTCGGTGTTCACAGGAAGGCAGGGTGGAAACACTGGCCTGACTGCCCTGTGAGGGCACCGCTGCTGGTGTCAGGGAGGATGGACACAAGCACACTCCGAGGACAAGCGCCTCTTCAGTGTTCAGAAGGACAAGCACCTCTTTAAATCCGTCGGTGGGCAGAGGGGATGTGGGTCTGCCCTCCCATGTGGCTGTCAAATGCAAAACAGGCCAGGAGGCCTCCAGTGGTGTATGACAACGATAACAACAGAATGGCCAGACCAGTTCTTGTGGTTCATACCTTAAAAAAAACTGGAGTGTCTTTAGAAGTCACTAAGACTCTCATCCACTAGCAAGGACACAGAAAAAATACTGCATTCCTCCTACACACATTTATTACATGCTTACTATCTTTCAGACACAGAGAAAACAGCTAAGAAAACTTGTGCTCCAGGAATTCACAATCTAGTAGGAAACCACTGTGATGAAATGCAGGTATACATAAAAGGCACAGAAAAAGGGACAACATTCACATCCTAACTTCTATCAGGGATTGAAGAAGAATGATATTCGCTTAAGTAATTTAAAATAATCTGTTTTCAATGTTAATATCCTCTTGAGAGTTTGGAAAAATCTAAAACCTGCTGGAGATTTCCAAGTTATATTTCTTCATGGCTTCAAGGAGCAGAGGTAAAGACAAAACAATAAAGACAGCAAGGCTTTACAAACAGTACGAACCAGGAGGCATTTTCTCCGGTACAAAGCAATCACGGATTCCTTCACCCCCCGGCGGGGCCCCTTCGTCAGCAGAGTGGTGTTGCTCTGGTAGGCGTACACCAAGTAGGAAAGGGCTTCTTGGTACCTTAGAAAATGGCAGATAATGACAGCTGAGTGCTCCTTCTCCAGAATCCAAGACCAGACTTCACTGTTTCCCAAGACAAGCATTCATGTGGCTGCAGTTCTGGAAAAGTCTTAAGGTGGAGGTGGTGCTGGGAAAAGCCTGGGGCCTAAAAAACTGCAGCCAGTCTCAGCTCTTCTACAAATTGGCCCAAAGCCCAAAACAAATCATAAAATCTCCCCGGGGTTCAGTTTTTCTTAACTGTAAAACAAAGAAGTTGACTAGATGCTCACTAACTCTAAAATTGACTTTCTGAGTTCATTGTCATTTATCACAAAGAAAATCTGGCCATTATCTCTATTAATAAATCTATCCTTAGGTAAAGGATGAAAAAACAAGTGTGACGTCCAGAGCCAAACTAAGTGCAACGGTGGGAAAAGTGGAGGCACACTAACATATGTGACAGGGGAGGTGATGCACGCCTGTGGTTCTCAGTACTCCTTGGTGGGTATCGGTAACAGGGTCCCGACCCATAACCTTACTGACATAAAAGGCCAACATACTTTCCTTTCTGATAGAGTTCCAGGCCTGTTAGGAGATACACAGACACCTTTCGAAACAAACTATAATCTTCATGCCACTTCTGAAAAGGAATAACTACTATTAGTGATTATGACCACAATAAACTATTTCTCTACTTTCTACCACAGTATGTTTTAAACTCTATACAAATATTTATTGAGCACATATGGCCAGGCACAAAAGCAATAAACACAAAAACTTTTAGATAAAAGCATATTCAACATTTAGAGTAAGTCTACTATTGACCTCAACTTTTAATGTCCTGTTCCTTCCTAAGGAACAGAAATATGAGGGCAGACCCAAAAAACGCCAGAATTTATTTATAACAAATTGTGTATTTATTACACATTTCAACTTCAGTCATCTTCAAAGAACTCTCCATTTGATGCAATATACCTATCGAGACATTTTTTTCTACTGCTCAAAACAGTTTCTGAATTTGTTGATTTTGATGCATATTAGTGCTTTTGCTGTTTCTTGTTTCACCTTTTCCATGTTGGCAAAACATTTCCCTTTCAGGACTTTTTTCATCCAAGGCAAGGCAAGGTCACTCAAGGTAAGATCAGGTGAACAGAGAGGGCAGAGAACGGGGGTCATATTGTTTTTCATCAAAAACTGCTGAACACTCAGAGCAGTGTGGGCAGGTGCACTCATAAATCACCCATCATGAACTAGGCACACATGTTGAAAGAGTCTTCCAAAAACTTCACTGAAGCCTAACATAGCCTCTCATAACAACACCAGTTGGTACACTGACAAAGATGGGTTCCTACGACACTCACCTAGTCTGGGGAAGCCTGTACTACGAGGGGCCTGCCCGCTAGAAGATAATTCCAGTTTCGGGGGATTTCCCCCTCATATGTATTTCATATGAACTTCAGAATTGATCATCTTCTTGCCAACACCCATGTCAAAGTCATTTGGCTCTGGTATAAACGGATGACCTCTCCAGTTCTGATGAAACCATCCAGATGTGAGGAAGACAGAAGGATAAGGCCACCCCAGTCATGCAGGACCACACTCGAGCTAAGTGTGGTGGGCAACCCTTACGTGGGAGGTGACACTGTTTTATATACAACATGTGCTTTTTAAAAAATTGTGTAGTTATATATGAACTTTTAATGAAGAGAAATTTAATCTCAAATAGACATATTAGAAAATTATATTATTTAAAACTAACCCAAACCATGAATTAAGAGTTTTGTTGCCTAGAATCAGGCTAAAATACATATTTAGGAAAATGAAGTTTTGATTCACTCTAACAGAAGAATGGAATGAAGAAACCTGCTACTCTGAAGGTAAGAAAAGATCATTTATACATTTTTACCCATTTTTTGGGGGGTGGGGGTGGGGAAGGAGTTACAGAATTGTTAGTTTTGCCTCAGAGATTAATGGTTGTGGCTTTGTAGATTTAGAGGAAAGACTTCACCTTGTACTCCTCCATATTCATGTCATCTGGACCGATCTCCTTCAGTTTAGCTTGGGCCACCTTCATGATGCTGATTGACCTGCGGGGCCAAGTTCAGAAAGCAATGAAAGAACACAGTACGCAGCTTCCCCACAGGGACTGAGTCGAGCCAGACCCAGGAGTGGGGGTTCCTCGGGGAATTCCCCTCTCACCTTTCATCATAGCTAAGGTTTTTATCTGCAAACTGTTCCAAAAGGGTCCGCTCTACTACCCTTTTGGGAGCTTCATTTTGGAAAAAGTAGACCAACACGTGCTGCAGCCGAGGATCGCTGTGCGAGGTGGGGCTCTCTCTGGCGAGCTGGTAGAGCCTGGAGTATTCCTCATGGAATGCCTGCCAGAGACAACTGGTGGTCAGAACGGGTGCACTCTGGGCTTCTGGGAACAGAAATTGGTCCCTGAGGGCTACAGAGGTTTTTATAACTCTGAAAAGACTTCTAAGAAATTCTTACTAAGAGATTACAGAGGTAACTATGGCATTTGTAAAGTGTTTGCACATCATGAGGGATAAAATTCCTCTAGCATTCTGGCACAAAAGATATACTATATTCATAAAAAAAATTTTCCATAAAGTTCTCAGAAAAAAAACAAACACCAAGTTTTCATTATTTCAGGCAATCCTTGAGTCCCATGGACCCAAATTTTTAAAATCCACATGAATACAATTTATTCATGAACCTTGAATTTTATTCATGTACCTTAAAAGGCAAAGCCTACTTTCTTACATTACAGCTCCAATTACAAAGGCAACGTCTCAATAATGGCTTTATTAACAGACATTTCCGAAGAACAACAGGCCCTGGGGGGGGGGTGCGACACAGGACCGCCCCACTCCCCAGGCCCATGGGCACCAGCTGGGGAGGTGCAGTCACGTGATGGGGCAGCTTATTCATCGGTTGGGCAGGAAAGGGAGTTTTATGCTTTACTTCAGTGAAGGACATTTTTAATTCTATTGTTTAGCATCTAATAAAATTATTGCCTTACTATTATGGCACCTGTGGTATAAAAATGAGAAATTAAAAACAGCCTGGCTGGTGCAGCTCAGTGGATTGAGTGCCGGCCTGAGAACCAAAGGGTCACTGGTTCAATTTCCAGTCAGGGCACCTGCCTGGGTTACGGGCCAAGTCACCAGTAAGGGGTGTACAAGAGGCAATCACACACTGATGTTTCTCTCCCTCTCTTTCTCCTTCCCTTTTTCTTTCTCTAAAAATAAATAAAATCTTTAAAAAACAAACAAACCAAAAAAAACCCCACTCAGAAATACCTTTATAAGCCCTGCTTCAGACCCATCTCGGTCAAAGGTCTGACGGGCTTTAGCTATGGCCAGGATGACCCCCTGCATGGCAGGGCTCAGCATCACCTACCACAAGAGGGCACAAAACACAGAGAAAAGGAGAGAAAAGGTTCAAAAGAGGAGTGTATGACAGATGAGTGAGCAGACTGTTAAAGGGAAGCATGGCTACACTGCAAGTCGGGTTCACACACTCACTCCTACACACACCACTCCCACACGCACCCACTCCTACACACACTTGCAACCCTGCCCTCGACACAATGCCCCAGACCAGCTATTTCTATATATGCCCCGTACATTAGCAGATGAATAACTATGTAGGTCTAAAAATATCTATTCTGGGACTGCTAAAGAATCAGGAAAATTAGAGCTCTCAGTGGGGAACTGTCTGAGGTGAGAATTCCAATTTGGTTCTATAATTTGGGAGTACAGCCCCAACACACAATTATTTCAGACTTTTACTAGGTCAAATAGCACATTTAAAAGAGTCTGGAACTAGGAAATGCACAAATATAACTTCACAAAATGAAAGCCTTTCAATGATTTCAGAGCTGTCTCACAGCCCGTTAGAATCTGAGGGACTGAATCCGTCACTGGTTGTGTGCGGTGACAGGCGTAAAGAGGAAACACAACAACCTGGGCTCTACAGCTCCTTCTTAAGCGTTAGAAGTAAAAACAAGTCCACTTTACATTTGCTCACTAGACACCTGAAAATTTTACACTTGTTGGAAAAGCATTAACTAATACTACCGAAGGCAAAGATTCCTAACTTAAAAGGCAATTTTTGTGTTCCTAACACCAGAAAAAGAACTAAATTCTCTTTCTGAGCCATCTAAACTCTGCGGTGGCCCCCATAAATATAAGCCTGGGTAGATGTACACTGGAAGCAGTATACAATGGGAACGAGGTTATCTTTTTAAACATAATAACTGAGGTCAAACCAGATAGGCCTTCTCGTCCATTATCTGTTTCAGTAAGAAAATATTAACCATTGCCAAACACCCTGAAGCACACCAGGGACAAGGGAAGGGAATGTAAGACTAACAACAAACAACTAACCCCTGCACTCATCTCTGTACCTCCTCATCATATCCATCTGCATCAGATCTAACCAGAATCCTTCCCACACTGGGAATCTCGACTTCAGAGACCTCAGAATTAGGCTGGGCTGCAGACTCTGCATCATTAGCCTTTTGGGGCTGTTCTGACTGCTCTGCAAGGTTTGCTTCCGGGGGCATGGGCTTCTTGGATTCAGGTTCCTTAAGCTGTGGCAGCAGAACAGAGAGAAAGAGTAAGGAAAAAAACAGGAGAAATAAAGGGGGATTGGTTTAATGCAGGAGAGATACAGAATAATCAAAATGTGAGAAAACTGCAGAAATCACTGCTGAAAGCCTGCCCCTCTGGGATCCAGGCTCCTTCAGTGACTCTCACCTCACTCAGGGCTGCTTCCACACCACTCTTCTCGTAGGCACGTGCAGTGTTTGCAATGGCCTGGGCAGTTTGCTCCTTGACGATCACGGCATGCTCAGACGACAAGCAGCGAACCCCATGAGAAGAGGCTACTGAAGGCTCTGATAAAGAATTGTACACAGGAATTAGCACCTGATGATAATTAACTTTGTAAAAGCCGAGCACGATGGACACACAGTTTAATATACAACCCTTCTAACAAACCTTTAAAAAAAGTCTATGGAAGTTTCCCCTAGAAACTGTGACTAGAATAAATGGCAACTTCAGCAAAACCCCAATGATGACCCCATAAAATTTAATGCACTCCCAACTTTGTCATATTCCTTTATACCAAGAAGGCTTCCCACATAATCTGTTAAGAAAATAACCTTTAAAAAAAATTCATATATATTGTATACACACACACTTTAAAGTTCTTGAGCTTTGACACATTTACATATAGCATTATAATTAATAATGTTATAAATTATTTTTAAATTAAATTTATCAGGGTACCATTGGTTAATAACATTATACAATTTTCAGGTGTACGAGATTATAATTTGACATCTGTGTATTCTATTGCGTGCTCCCCAAAGTCTAGTTTCCTTCCACTACCATGTGTTTGACCTGGTGAAGGTCATTTTTGGAGAATTGTTTTCATAAATTCTACCTATTAATTGTATCATAATTTACCTTACAACCTGGGAAATAAGCAAAACTAAACAGAGTAGAAGTACAGGTAGCTAGTCTTTCTGCCAGTACTTCTACTCATCAGAGATCACATTCGGAAGCCACAAGCCATTCCGTCAGGTTGTGCAACACCAGCTGCGTGGGAACGATGCTGCAGCTGCGCGCTGCGGCGGCTCTCCCAGCTGACGCACACTGTGCTGGCTGACAAAGCGCAGCGGGACTACCGCTGGGTCACTGGCATACTGCCCTTCTCAAATACCTTGGGACGTAGAGAAATCCTGTGACGCTGAGTTGGTAGAAGATTCCATTTGAGGAATTTTACAAGACTGCTCTTCTTCCCACTCCTCTACTTCCTGTTCAAATCTCCAGTTATCTTCCTGAATGTAATGCTTAAGTTCAACAGATAAGGCTTCCAATTCTCCTAACATCTGGTCTGATTCATTTGGGGCTGCCTCTGAGAAAGAACAAAGGTAGAGAAATCAAAAGGTCCTTCCCAATGAAAATACATAATCTATCAGAGGTATTAATAATATAATGCCAACAGAGCACATCAATAACGGTGCCTAGTGTAAATAGGTAGGCACACACTTAATACCTGGTAAATGAATATAAGCATGTAGAAATTTAGAACAGATGCCAATCACTGGCAAAATAATAATAGACCAAACATTTCTTGGAAATTCAGAAAAACTATTATATCCAAAGGAAAGTTCAAGTAAAATAGTTTTGTTGATGTAACCACTGCTTCCATTATTGAAAAGAATATCTACCTCAAGATGGTTAGAGTTGAATTCCAAGACACTTACACTGTGTCAAGTTTATTTGATTAAGTGCTATCACAAAGCAATCTGTTACAACATTTAAATGGCCAATAATACCTGGTTCATTAAAAGCTATGATGAAAAACAGCAGGATATGAAGCACAGATTAACTTTCATTCCTAACCCTTTTTTGTTTTGACCAACACAAAAAAAAACAAAATAAAAATACTCTACAGCAGAACAACAACATCCACTTATTGGTTGCCATTAACTAGTCTTTTCACTAAGCAAATGGCAGTTTCCATTTTTGTGCTTCTATAATATAAAAATGATTCAAAGAATTAAAACCTCTCCTTCTCAAACTAGTCCAAAAAAATTCAAGAGCAGGGAAGACTCTCCAAGCTCATTTTATGAGCCAGCATGATCATAATTCAAAAACCAGATAAAGACACTACAAAGAAAGAAAATTATAGGTCAATATCCCTGATGAACTCAGTAAAATCTTCAACAAAATATTAGGAGACCAGATCCAGCAACATATTAAAAAGATCATATACCCTATTCAAGTGAGATTTATTCTGAGGACGCAAAGTTGGTACAATATCCACAAATCAATTAACATGACACACTACATAAACAAAACAAAGGATAAAAAGTACATGATCATATCAGTAAAGGAAGAAAAAGCACTTGATAAAATCCAGCAAAATGATAAAATCCAGCAAAAATCCAGCAAAATGATAGGCTGTCACATACGGTCTTTATCTCAATAGAATAAAGACCGTATGTGACAGCCACAGCTAACCTTATACTCAATGGTCAAAAACTACAAGTGTTTCCCTTAAGATCAGGAACAAGACAAGGATGTCTGCTTTCATTTCTCTTATTCAACATAGTACTAGACATCCTAGCCACAGCAATCAGGTAAGAAAAGAAATACAAGCCATCCAAATAGAAAAAGAAGTAAAGCTGTCTTTATTTGCAGATGATATGACACTGTGTACAGAGAACCCTAAAGCTTCCACCTAAAAATTAATAGACTGATAAATGAATTCAGTAAAGTAGCAGGATACAAAGTAAATATTCAAAAATAACCAATGATTAACTATCAAAAAGGGAAAGTAACAAAACAATTCCATTCAACTGCTTAAAAAAAACCTAGCAGTAAATTTAAACTAGGATGTAAAAGAACTGCACTCAGAAAATTATGATACTGAATAAAGAAACTGAAAAAGGCACAAATAAGTGGAAGCTTATACTGTGTACATGAATACGAAAAATTAACATCATGAAAATGTTCATACTACCCAAAGCAATCCAGAGTCAACAAAATTTCTATCAAGATACCAACAGCATATTTCACAGAACTAGAATATTACAAAAACTTACATGGAACCACAAAAGACCCCAAATAGCCACAGCAATGTTGAGAAAGAAAAACAAAGGTGGAAGAATCACACTACCTCATATCAAACTATACTGCAAGGCTATGGTAATCAAAACAGCATGCTACTGGCATAAAAACAGACATATAGAACAATGGAACAGAATAGAGAGCACAGAAAAAAGCACATGCCTTTCCAGTCAATTAATATTTGGCAAAGGATGTGAAAACATAACATGGGGTAAAGATAGTCTAGTCAATAAATGGTGTTGGGAAAATTGGACAAATATGTGAAAAAAAGTGAAACTAGACCACCTTCTTACACCATAAGCAATAAATTCAACATGGATCAAACACTTAAATGTGTTTGACTCAAAACCATAGAAGTCCTAGAAGAAAACATGCAGCAAAATCTTGGACATTGCTAGTAAAAGTATTTTTTCTGATATATCTCTTCCAGCAGGGGAAACAAAAGAAAAAATAAACAAATGACACTACATCAAACTAAAAAATTTTTCATAGCAAAGGAAATCATCAACAAAATGGAAAGAAACTCACCAGAGTTCCAGCCAAGATGGAGGCATAGGTAGAAACGCTTCGCTTCCTTGCCAAAGGAAGGACAACAACCAATTTAAAAACAATAAACCAGAACTGCCAGAAAATGAAACTGCATGGAACTCCAACAATCAAGGAATTTAAGAAACATTCACCCAGACCGGTGGGTGGGATGGAGACGTGAGAGGGCAACCTAGTAGAGAGCACAGCTGGCAAGGCGGCAGGCTGCATGGGCAAGGCGGGGCTGGGTATATGGGAAACTGAAGACTCAAAGTTAGCTGTAAAATACTGCAGGGGTTGCCACAGTGGGAGAAACTCCCAGTCTCACAGGAGAGTTAGTTGGAAAGCAGGGCTAGAGTGGAGCAAGTCAGCCGCATTGTTCCCTCTCTGATCCCTCTCCCACAGACGGTGTCAAAATGCAGCGAACAGGGTTTGCCAGGCCCTGGAAAATATCTAAGGCTCTGCCTCTTACAACATAATAGGTACACCGAGACAGAGAAATATGGCTCAAATGAATGAACAGATCAAAACTCCAGAAAAAGAGCTAAGTGACGAGGAGATAGCCAACCTATCTGATGCAGAGTTCAAAACACTGGTAATCAGGATGCTCACATAACTGATTGAGGTCAGTTGCAAAATTAAAGAAGAAATGAAGGCTACCCAAAGTGAAATAAAGCAAAATATACAGGGAACCAACAGTGAAGGGAAGGAAACCAGGACCCAAGTCAACAAGTTGGAACAAAAGGAAGAAATAAATATCCAACCAGAACAGAATGAAGAAATAAGAATTTAAAAAATTGAAGAGAGGCTTAGGAACCTCTGGGACAGCTTTAAATGCTCAAACATCCAAATCCTAGGGATGCCAGAAGAAGAACAAGAGCAAGAAATTAAAAACTTATTTGAACAAATAATGAAGGAAAACTTCCCCATTCTAGTGAAGGAAGTAAGACTTCCAGGAAGTCCAGGAAGCTCAGAAAGTCCCAAAGAAATTGGACCCAAGGAAGCACACTCCAAGGAATATGCTCATTAAGTTACCCAAGATTAAAGATAAGGAAAGAATCTTAAAAGCAACAAGAGAAAAAGAGACAGTTGCCTATAAAGGAGTTCCCATAAGTCTAGCAGCTGATTTCTCAAAAAAAAAACCTTATAGGCAAGAAGGGGCTGGAAAGAAGTATTCCAAGTCATGAAAGGCAAGAACCTAACATCCCAGATTACTCTATGCAGCAAAGCTATCATTTAGAATGGAGAGCAGAAAAAGGGCTTCCCAGATAAGGTCAAGTTAAAGGAGTTTATCATTACCAAGCCCTTATTATATGAAATGTTAAAGGGACTTATCTAAGAAATAGAAGATCAAAAACTATGAGCAGTAAGATGGCAACAAACTTGTAACTATCAGCAACTGGACCTAAAAAACAAAAACAAAAACTAAGCAAACAACTAGACCAGAAACACAACTAGAGAAATGGAGATCACATGGAGGGTTTTCAGTGGGAAGGGGTGGAGAGAAGGTACAGGAAATAAGAAGCATAATGGGCAGGCATAAAATAGATGGGGAGAGGTTAAGAATAGTATAGGAAATGGAGAAGCCAAAGAACTTATATGTACAACTCATGGACATGAGCTAAGGTGGGGGAGGGTAATGCTGGAGGTGAGGGGGTACATGGTGAAGGGGGGATAAAGGGGAGAAAAAATTGGGACAACTGTAATGGCATAATCAATAAAATATACTTAAAAAAGAAACCTACTAAATGGGAGAACATATTTGCCAATGACATACCTAAAATTTATAAAGAATTCACAAAACTACAGCAAAAAAACAAAATACTGCACTCAAAGGATCTTAATAGACACTTCTCCAAAGAGAATATAAAGATAGTTGGCCAACAGATATATGAAAAGATGCTCGAAATCACTAATTATCAGAAAAATGCAGATTAAAACTTCATGCCTGTTAGAATGGCTATCACCAATAAATCAACAAACAAGTACTGGCCAGGATGTGGAGAAAAGGGAACCCTTGTGTGTTGCTGGTGGGAATAAAGAGTGGTGTAGCCACTGCAGAAAACAGTACAGAGTTACCTAAGGAAATTAAAAATGGAACTGCCTTATGATCCAGCAATTCCGCTTCTTGGAATATATGTGAAGACACGTGAAATGCTAATTCAAAAGAACATATACACCCTTATGTTCACAGCAGCCTTATCTACAATAGCTAAAATTTGGAAGCATCAGGAGTACCCATCAGGAGACGAATGGATAAAAAACTGTAGACATTTACACAATGGAATACTACGCAGCCATAAAAGAGGAAATTCTACTCTTTGAAACAACATGGATGGACCTGAAGAGCATTGTGCTAAGTGAAGTAAGCCAGTCAAAGAAAGACAAGTGCCATATAATTTCACTTATATGTGGAATCTAACAAAATAGAACTAACAAAATAGAAAGAGACTCACAGATGGAGAACAGAATGACAGCTCTCAGAGGGGAGCCAGGTTGCAGAACTGGGTAGAAAAGGTAAAGGAACTAAGCAAAAACAAAACAAAACCCCAAACAAACAAATAAATAAAAACCCCAACAAACAAAAACCAAACTCATAGACACAACCATATGGTGATTAAAAAATACAAAAGAGCCCTGGCTGGTGTGGTTAAGTGGACTGAGTGTCGGCCTACAAACTGAAAGGTCACTGGTTCAATTCCCAGTCAGGGCATATGCCTGGGTTGTGGGCCAGGTCCCCAGTTGGGGCATGTGAAACGTAACCAGTCAATGTTTTCCTCACATATCAATGTTTCTTTCCCTTTCTTTCTCCCTCACACCCCTCTCTAAAAATAAATAAGTAAAATTTTTATAAAATAAATAAAAATGAGCCCTACGTGTAATATCAAGGCTCCAGTACACTACCAACAGCCAGTACCATTACTTGTACAGTAACACCCACAAGTAGCTGTTCCTACTTTCACACTGCAAATACGAAATTATGAAGGCCAATTACTGTCGGGTGACCATTCCTTCACCTCCCGCCCTCCCACCCTAACACTCTCATTACTGAATCAGAAAGACAACCTGCTACCTGGGCAAAAGGCCTCACACAATTTCTTACCTATTGGACACAGTCAAGTTCGAGGACTGAAAGAAAAGCCTTCTACGATCTTGGATGTGAAACGCTGGCCATAAGACCTCTCAGAGAAGATGTGAAAGGAAGATAATAATGTATATGGAAAACAGTACAGAATTTGGGGTCAGAACTGGATCTGAATCATTTGCCTGCTATTTACTTATTGGACAGCTAGAGAATCTTATCTGGAAAAGGTAGATAATAAGAATTTCTACCCTGCCTATCTCCCTTTTAGAGTTATTAGAAAAATAACTCTAAAGTTATTTTCTAAGTTATTAGAAAAATAAAAATTGAAAGCATGCAGTAAACAGCAAAGTACCAATATAAATATGACTGCTCTTAACATTAATAATAGTATTATGAGAAGTATGAAATTATTCAGGCAAATCCACTTGTAAAATTTAGTTATTTTCCAAAGGGTACAAAACTATGTATACAAAAATGTCCCATGAGGGGAAGAACATGGGAAGAGGTAGAGATGTCAATAAATAAATGTGGCATCTGCAGAAAGTGTATTTGAACCCCACATAAGAAACGTAACAATGGATACTTGTTGGGCTCTAGGATGGAAGCTGGAGAGCAAACTTACTCTTCCTCTTTATTCTCGTTTGTACTATGTATTTTTTAAATGCATCATTACTTTATAATAAATGCTAGGTTAAAAATGTTTAAACTGTTTCCCCTTCCCTGATTAGTACATATTTCCCCTATCTTTAGTATCTGCTAACATATTTTTACCTGTATTAAAGTGGGGGAGCTTGTCGTTAATGTACATCAGACAATAAGCACTAACATTCCTCAGGCCTCCATATGAATCTCTTTCAAGTTCTTCCCAGGAAGATTCGGTAACAGAGATGTCATTGTACTTGAGCCAGACTTGTCGGGGTTGATTATAGACATAGGCCCAGTAGTGTCCAGCATTTGCTTGCCCTTCATGAACAAGAACTGCATGCAAGCGATAAGGCACCTGCAAATCAGAAAGCATATTTCTGAGTTAGATTAAGCAAAGTAATCTGACAAAGTTGAGCTTACTAAAATAAAAATTTATGCCCAACTATCAGACATAAGAAAACTAACTATACATATATTTGTCACAGGGCTCACACTGAAACATCTTGGTGATGCACAGCCTTAGAACCTACCAACTATGTCTCAGTTCCCAAATCTTTAAAACCAGAGAGCTGAACTAGGTAACCTCCTCTGAGACCTCATTCAACTCTAAACTCTCATGGTTACGGATCTAAAACCAAAGATAACTCAGACTTACTTATCCCACAATCCCGAACTCGGTTCATGTACAAGCAGAAGCACCCTGACCACTTTCGTTGAGAAATGCTTATCACATTGGGACCTACAGCAAGATTAGCGGCTATCTTGTTCTGTGCCTATTTTATTTGGCACAGAGACAAAATTTAAGTTAGCACATTTCATTATGAATCAGTCACACGGTCCCTGTGTTTCTTCTGGGAACTGTACACCTACCTGAGGTGAAGACTCTTTTAGCTACCTACTTGTTTGTCCCAACATCTGAAAAGCACTTCTTGTCACAATAAGCAGAAAATAAAGCAATACTTAAGTGTCAAGTAACTACTGGTGGAAAAAGGGAAAGTCAGCCATAGAATCGAGTTAAACTTACATTTCCTCAGTACCTTGACGTGATTTTACTAGTGCAGAGAGGTCTGATATACTCAAAAGAGAAAGTGGGGAAGCGCTAGACTGACACAACGCACGCCTGTCCTGCCACCCCGGAAACAGCTCTTCTCCTCCCGCCAGGCACAGAGAGCCACTGAGGTCGCCCTGGACAGGAACCTCCTTCCCTCCATGTCCAGACTGTTACTCTAAACAAAATTCTGTGGGGATGACTAGAACTTCCACCCTGCCTACCTCCCTTTTACAGTCATCGCATAAACAACCTTGAAAGCATGCTGGTAAACAAAGGGTCGTGGGACTTTGGAAATGACAGGTAACTGATCCCTAGTTCACATTTCCCCACTGTACTACTTAAATTCCCATTATATGAGAAATTTGTATTAATATTTGAGAGCAAACCTATTTACTATATCAAAAAATAACACAAGGCAGAATCCAAACAAACATATTTTGGTTTCAACTGATGGCAGAACATATACCACTTATTTTTAGCCTAAAATAAAAAATAGCACACTAACAATTTTTTCCCTAAGTTGCTATCTTATATTTCAGGGAGGTTCCCATCCACTTTCAAAGAAAACCATCCAATTTTCTTTTTGTACCCACCATTACCACCACTAGACTACTCCTTCGCTACTTTCCCTCGATTTCATTCTACCTGACAAAGGAGAGGATCACAGTACATCTGCTCAATAGTCTGGGTAGTGCTTGCAATACAATTCTTTAAATCTGTTAAAAAAAAAAGGATACTTAGTTAAAACAATTCCATTCCATGTCAAGGACTCAACTAAACAAAGAGAATGCTTATTTGTACCTGGGGTTCCGGTAATTTTAACCTCACTCTATAAACCACACAGTTAGTGCTTTAGGTTCTAAAGGCTTTTAATTTAATTACATTAAGATTTAAAAAATTATCTCTTATCATTGGCACCAAAATTTCTTAAAGAAAATACCATCTACTTAGAAAAAGACCGTAATGGGTCACTTGGGTATAATATAAGTGTCCCAGAGACAAAACCTAAAAGAAGGTGGCAGAGCAGGGCAGGGCTAAATTTCTGTGAATAAGAACTTGGCAGTAATCTGACTTTATTATTAGCTCCCCAGATAAAAGGAAAAAGTAACGGGAGGGAGGAGTTTGAGCACCAGGACCGTGAGTGTACAGAAAAACCCTAGCCAAAGGTGGTCACCAGTGTCTAGGCCACCCCAGAATCCCCAGAAATGTTTCCATGGCTGTGTAACGGGTGTGTGACCCAATAGGAAACCTGTAGGGAACTGAAGAAGGAAGTCGTAATCCCCGGGCCCCAATTCCACAGTATACATGGCAATGCAGCAAGTGTGCCCAAGGTGCCTAACTTCCAAATAGTCAAACAAAGAGAGGAGGCCAAGAGTAGCTGTTTGACAAGTTTTAAAGAGCCAACCTTGTATATCTTGTTCAATCTCACTCCTCCACCTCTGAAGACAGGTCTTAACAAAGTTTATCTCCTCATCTGTGACTGTTCGAGGAGCTGGGTGTGCAGGCATTTCCACTGGAGACCGTGAAGATGGAAGGGGCTTATTCACTGGTGTAGACTTGTGCAGACAATCTTCAGAAAAGGTACTTTCAACATCCTGAGAAGAGCTTTCTTTACTTGTACTGAAGGAAGACAAATCATGCTTGTATGATCATTTCCAAAATATACTTGGCCTAAATATGCTTTGTAAAGTAAGCTGCTATGTGGAAAAGTACAACTGTAAGTTGGTATTCACTATGTACATGTACTGAGTCAAATCTTTCCTTTATATGCAACATCTCATTTAATACAACTTGCTTATATGACAGATACTATTACTATAGAGATACTATCTCTCTTAACCAATTACAAACCTAAGGTTTAGAAAAACTAAGAAACTTGGACCCAAGTTCACTCAACTCATAAGCGGTGGAGAGGTATCAAACCCAGATCTGCCTGAGTCTCTGGCTCACGCTCTCTCACCACTTGTTATAAGGCCTTTTTGTGAAGAAGGGAGAAGAGAGAACCTGAAAAAGGGAAGAACTGAGGTATCAACTGCAGAGTCTCCAAGATGCAACCTACCAAAGTGGGATAAACAGGTGAACACAGGAACAAATGTACAGAGCAAGAAAAATGAAGCACCAGCTGAACATCTGATTCACAGAAACACAAACTAGGTGGTACTGTGGGAGAGTAACAGAGGGCGGGACTAAAGGCAGGCAATCCCAGATCTACCGCTGTAGCTACATTCCCAAGGAAAACTTGGTAGTCTCAGGTAAGTTTCTAATACTCAGTTCTAAATCTAAATGTTAACTTCTGTATTGCACCACTGTCCTAAACTAACTGAGAACTAAGTATGTAAAAGTAAATGGTTACTACCATCGTCAAACAAACTACACACAGATAAACCAGCAGGAATAGAAACGAAGTTTCTAACTGTACTTAGGTTTCCCATTAAAACTGAGTAACCAAAGACACTGAAATAGAGAAGAGGCTGACAGGGACCAGAGGAGAGAGGGGAGGGAATTTCAGGGGAAAAGGGGAAGGGTTTACAGGAACTAGTATAAAGGACACATGGACAAAAACTAAGGGGGGGGGGGCGGAAATGGGAAGGAGGGAAGAGGGCTGGGTGGGTGGGTGGGCTAGGATGGGAGTAAAAGACAGAAAACTGCACTTGAACAATAGAAAAAGAAAAAGACAACAACAAAAACTGAGTAACATAAACTTCCTTCAGCTTTGACTTACAAGAAATCCAGAGAGACACTGGGTATGTCCTACCCAGATGTGCACTTATATGCATACATAATTATCAATATGGGGAAATGTAAGTTTTTAAACATAAAAACCTAACCTTTTTAGTCAGTAACCAGGAGGCCACAGAGTGGGGGGGAGCTTCTGGGAACACCACGGCCTGGATTACTGCCCGTCCAACCCCACCCCACCTGCCCCAACGGCTGCGGCTCCCTTGCTTCCTTAGCAGGCATCCTGTGACTCTCCTTGGGAGCTGCTGTGTTAGTGGGAATGCTCTCAGCGGTGGGGGATGGAATGGATCCCCAGGCTGCCACCCTGGTCAGTCATCAGGAAGCAGCTAGCGGGACCCGTGGAGGCGTTGCAGGAACAGTACCCGTCCTTGGACACAGTGATCACTACCGAAGACGAAGATGCCACACTGTGCAGCCCCCTAGAGGCTGTTTATCCAGGGCCTGATGCCAAGCACATTCAAGCGGCTGCGGGGGGTAGGGGGTGGGAGAAGTGCACACCAGAAACCTCTGTCTTCTGGACCCTCTTGAAAGCTGTCACCCAACAAACTCAGGATTGGAGCACCTGGTCTCTGCCAGCAGGAACAATGGCCCAATAAAGTGCTACCTGAAGCTGCTCTTCCAGGAGCAGGCCTACCTGGGTGAGTACTAGCAGCCCACCTCTCCGCTTTGGACGCTGAGGAGAGTGAGCTTCTCAGCTTCCTATAGGGGCTAACATTCTTTTTATTTTTAAGATTTTATTTATTTATCTTTAGAGGGGAAGGGAAGGAGAGAGGGAGAAATATCAATGTATGGTTGCCTCTTGTGCATCCCCCGCTGGGAACTGGCCTGCAACCCAGGCATGTGCCCTGATTGGGAATTGAACCAAAATCCTCTGGTTCACAGGCCCGCACTCAATCCACTGAGCTACACCAGCCAGGGCTGGAGACTAACATTCTTATCCCAAGATCTCTCCTATAAGTCTGCCCTCTTAAACATGCAGATGCTCACCCCACCAGCCTCTCTGGGCTGTGTCCATTCTCCGAGCTCAACCCTGTAACTACCTCTGGTAAAGAACTACAGTGGACGGAGTATCTGGATTCTGCTTCCCATTCCTCAAGCTCAGAGGACATAAAGGTCAGCACTCGGGGGGCCATAAGACCTGATGGAACAGGAAGCACACTGCCTCCTCCCTCAGCCTGGACACGGCTAGTTCATCCCAGCTGTCCATCCTATAGCTTAATCTCTGAGAGCTCCCTACTTCAAGAGAATGGGTCCAAGAGTCCAGGTCATTCTAAGGAGCCCACATTGTATAACTCAGACCTGGGGACAGCAAATGCTCATGACTCAGACCCATCTCTGCAGGTGGTGGCGTCACAGTTCAGTGACACCCAGGTAAACTCTGTGCCAACCAACGGACTGAGCCGAGCATGAAGACTCCCGTACTGCAGTCCTCACTCTCCCTCCATGGCCTCTGCCTCCACACCAGCAGGCACCTGCACTTTGATGTGCCTGCAAAGCCCCTCCCTGCCCCACAGTCTCTCTCTGGGACTCGAGATGGTGCACACAAGCAGGAGCCACTTTCCAAGTCACCTGGCACTATGGGCTTGCCAGTATCTGGGCACCGCCTAAGCTGTCACTTTGGGGAGCACTTCAGACCAGCATTCCTGGTCCTGTGAGAGCGGTCAGCCTAGGGAGTAGCCAGCAGAAGCCTTCGGTGGATGATGGAGCTATACTGAGCCTCGTGGTTTCCTCATCCACCAGTTTGAAAATGAAGAGCTGGATCTCAGAACATGACTTCTACTGGCTTCTGCAGGAACAGCCAAGCCCCAGAGAGTCCTTCAATCTGTAGCTTCTTCCAGAGGTACTCCAGAGTCCAGGCCTGGTCTCCTCAGGCATTTTTTCTCAGGACCAAGAAAAAGCTCCTCCATGGGGGCCTTAGACAAAGCTTGTGTGTCTTCTCCAGGGAGCAGGAAAAGCAAGGCAACTGCAGCACAGGAGCATTAAGAACTTCAGAGTGGTGCACTACAGGCAGATGGGCAGGTACCTGCAGGGTTCCAGGCAGCACCACTGATGGGGCGCTGCCTTCCAGAGCGCAGTTCTGAAGTTGTCTTTCCCATTATCAATTGGGTGACGTCTTCTCACCAGAAAAACCCTCATCCCAGAATGTAAAGAGGAACACCCTTGCTGAGTAATTCAAGAAAGCACTGCAGGAAAAGTGTATTTTCACATATAATGTTAACAAAGCAGTGCCCAAAACTGTCTATAGAGTACAAAAATACCAATTCCCCAACACTACCCTATATATCTTGTTATACAGCACTCTTGATTCTGTCTGTAGCCCAGTGCAAGCCCTGCCTCTTGAAGGCCTGGGAGTTTCCAGTGCTCCTTCCCAAGGCCTCTGGTCTCAGACGGTTTATTTATCAGCTGCTTGTTTAGTGTCCTCCACGTGCCATTTCCAATGAGGCCGGCTTGACCCCTCCCCACCGCCCTGTGAAATGCAAAAGGAGTTAAATAACCATCACCGAATTTTCCTGTGATTCTCATCCACAAGTTTCCACTTTCAAACAAACAAAAAATATGCCCTAGAGTTGGTCTCTTTCTCTCATTTTCTGTTTGCAGTGACCCAGCAGAGAATTTTGGTCAGGTTGCTGGGCCCTGGTTAGGCAGTGTGGGTTTTTCTGCCAGCCCATGTGATGGCTATAACCATGGTGCAGAAGGTGTCCTTTGTTGGGTCCCAGCTGGTCCAGGCTAGGAGAGAGAGAACTGCATGTCCTTTGGATCTCCTAGTTGGTGGCAGACCCCTGGGGGGCAGGGGGCAATGGGCAGTGTGGGCACATCATGTACTCACATACTCACTCACTGACTCACTCAGCAAGTATTTACCGAGGGCCTGTGATGTCCCAGGCACTACTCTAGGTTCTAGGGACAGAGAAGAAAACAAAGCCAAATCCCTAATCTTCATTGGATTTATATTCTAGCGGAGAGACAGGAAATAAGCAAATTAACAAGTGAACACAGGGTTATAGGCAGGTGACTGTAATGGCTATGGATAACCCGGGGAGTGCTAAGGTAGGGGTGTACTGTCTCACACAGGATGGCCAAGGGAGCCCCACAGATCAGGAAACATTTGAGGAGACGTAAAGGAAGGAGAGAGTAAGGCATAACGCAAGGTCTGAGGTTCAAGCAGGAAGATCAAAGGCAAAGACCCTGCTATGGGAACATCCTTGAAGCATCCAGGAAATAGCAGAGACCAGAGTAGCTGGAAGACAGGAGTGGAGAGGAGGCAGTTAGAGATGAGGTCACAGTGATGGGGGGGCCTGTGGGTTACAGAAGGGACACTGAATTTTGGTTTGAGGGAAATAGCAGCCACTGCAGGGTTTCAGGCAGAGGGACAGGATCTGACATATTTTAAATGCAGGAGTCATTCTGGCTCATATGTTGAAGGACTAGAGAGGGCAAATGCCATAACCCAGGCCAGGGATGTCAGTGGGCTGAACCTGTGAGATGGTGAAGGTGGTGAGATGGGGAAGATTCTGGATATGCCAACAGCATATGCTGACAGATGTGATATGTAGTATGAAAGAAAGAAAATCCAGGATAGCTCCTTATCCCCATCCTATCCCCCCACAGCAGCATTAATGCTCCACCACAAACACAGCCCAAATTATCCCAAATCCCTGAGCAGGCAGGAGCCCAGCCTGGGGTAGGCAGTGCAGCCTGAGCCTGACCCTGTTTTCCTTAGGCCTGTGAATATATTCCCCATTCCAGAAGGTGCTCTAGGAGGCCGTAGGAGTGAGGCCCTGGAGGCACCTGCTTCGGTCCACCCACCCCAGCTCTCTCAGAGATTAGTAGCATTAGAACTGGCCCTCTCCCCATCATCAACAGCTGCTGATGCTTTCAGATGAGCTGACTTTTACCCCTCGTCTCCAATGGAAAGCTGATGTGAACCTCAGTACTGGCCATAATATTTTTTAAACGTCATATTATGCGAGAAAGTGTTTGCAATGTGGGGCCCTGGCCCTGAAAAGTGCTTTGCAATGTACTGAAGGAAGTACTGCTGTTGATTTAATAATTCTGCAGTTAAGACGTGATCTTTTTTTTTTCAAATTCCCATCTGAGCATATGCTTATTGATTTTAGAGAAAGATGAAGGGAGAGAGACAAAAACATTAATGTGAGAAACATCACTCAACTGCCTCGTGCACACACCCCAACTGGGGATCATACTCGCAACCTAGGTATTGCCCAGACCGGGAATCAACTCTGTGACCTTTTGGTGTATGGGATGACTCTTCCAACTGAGCCACCTGGCCAAGGCAAGATGCTCTTTCTTAAAAAACAAAAACAAAAAACCTAACCTTTTAATAAATAGGTTCTAGCGTTTTTTATTTGTTTGATATTTAAATGAGGACACACACATCAAATCTAATGCAAGCTGACCCTCCAGGCTACGGAGGGTGCCCATGTGCCTCAGCCACAGCAGAATCAGAGGGCTCACGAGCCTTGGCTTCCCTGCTTCTTCCCTGGATAATCAGTCTCTCTAGGCCGTCCTCTTCAATTGCTAGCCAGTTCTTTCCATATTCTAATTTTCTATTTGTGAATAAGCCTCCCTTTCCTTGATGTTTACTTAGCCATGCATACTTTCAGTAGGAAGAGTTAAAATGTTTAGAAGAGCAAGAGCTGAGGTCTCCTCTCATTCCAGATAGCTCAGGGAGCATCTGAACCCCAACCGTCCCATGGGCAAGGTGAGTGCCCTGGTGGGAATTTGAACACTTTCCCAAGCGACAGTTGGCAAAACCCTACCTTTGAAGACAGAACGCTCATAGACCTTGAGCTTATATGGGGTGAGTGTTAATCAGCTGGAAAGATGGTGCACAGTTCAAATTAAACACAAAAAATATGTATATATTATTAAAGAAATCCATTACCTTTCCTTGGATGTCAGGTCAGAGACTGGGCAGTGCACTGGAGAAAGTGGTAATGTCATGCTTGCGTCACTCTGAGACACAGAGCGCTCCGAGCACGGTTTTGTACTAGCAAATTCAATCACATATTTCAGCATGTCCGGGAGTGGGAACCGAGCTGGGCCTGAGCCATACTTCACATACCTAAGAGGCAAAGACAATGGTACGCTACTGGCCGTTCTGTCTTATATTTTGAGGCTTGCTGACAAAAGATCTGTTATTGTGTGAAGAGTCAATGAAAAAGCTATTGCGAAAGCCTACACAATATTTAATACATTACTCAGAAAATCTATAGGGCAAAAAACGTCTCTAACTACAAAAGTAAAAAATCTTAACCTAAGTTTCTATACCTGGCAGAAAACAATTCAAATGGTCTCCTCATCAAAGTCATGCCAGTTATTCTTTCTCCCACTATCATGTCACATTTAGGCTCCGATCCTAAAAGTAAATGCTATTCCTTAAAGGAAAATAGAAATATAACCAGTACTCAAATCTGAAAATTATGCTGTTGAACTAGCAGCCAAGAGGTTTCTTTGCTGTCCTTTACATCAACCACTTCACAATTATTAGGGGAAAAGGGAAAGAAAGCTGGAGAGGGGAGGTGTGTGTTGATAAAGGTTGAAGTTCGAGAAAACTAGCAAATCTTTCTTTTGCAGAGCCCTGAGTTCCCTGTTATTCACACACCTGACAGCACAGACCAGGCACGAGATATTCAAGATTTCTTTGGGATTAGTAAATCATAAATACCTGAAGTGTGTAACCAAAATAGCCAGCAAATTTTAGTAATACCCAATATTCTGCCATTATTAGTCCATGTTAGACTCAGTAAAGAAATTTACTTTAATGAATTCTACAGTTCACTGGAGTACACAGAGTTTAAAATGGTACAATAATTAAGTTGACTAACTGGTACAAGTAAACTCTGTAATGCTGAGATTCTATTTACATAGAGTCACTTCACATTTTTCTTCTCCGAATAAAGCGAAAAAAAGAAACAGCTATAGAACTAGGAAGAAGGAAAAGTGCCTATTTCTGTATCAAAAAACACACTATGAAATGAAAACACCAGCGGAAAATAAGTACAGTGCAACTCAAAGTCAACCATATGTTAGAGGATATGGAGCGAATACACTTCGTCTTCACTAACAGAGGAGAAATGGAATGACTGCTGCTGTGGACCTGGATACTGCAGAGAGATACAAGTTTCATTAAAAAAGGATGTTGAATATGCAAAGCTAAAGGAACCTTAAAGAACTGTTCTATTCCTTAAATATATTTCCTTGCCTTAATTTCTATTATCAGCTTATCTAAATGCTTTCTTTCAAGATCTGCTTTCTCCATGAAATCTTTCCCAATATGTCATCCTTCCAATGCTGGAAAAAAACATCTTTTGTCTCTGAACTCCTACAGTATACAAACTAAACTTCTCGTCTATCGAATAATGTATCTTCTTAAGCCCTAAGTGTTTGCTGAATTAATTAACATACTACTGGCCTGGACCAAAGGAAACATTTTCTTACTAGCAATGCAATATTAATAATCTGCCACAGGATTTTAAACCATCATTTTGTATCTGTGACTCTTTGCAGGTTTGCTGTATTTTAATATGATACTCATATAAAATTTCAGGAAAAATTTTTCTCTAAGAAACGTCTCTTCACCCCTGGCTGGTGTGGCTCAGTGGTTGAGTGCTGGCCTGTGAAACAAAGGGTTGTCAGTTCAATTCCCAGTCAGGGCACATACCTGGGTTGTGGGCCAGGTCCCCAGTAGGGGGCACATGAGAGGTAACCACACACTGATGTTTTTCTCCCTCCCTTCCCCTCTCTTTAAAAACAAATACAATTTTTTTAAAAAAGAAAAGAAACTTATCTTCAATTTTATGACATTATTTTCCTGTTTTTTAATTGAATTCCTTCATATCAACTACTTTATACAATGCAGCATCTGCATTAATTAATAAAATTGGAGCAAAGGTTGTTTTAAAAAGATATCTATACTGTATGTTAAAAAATCTTATTTTTAATTTAATTTAAAAAATTTTAGTTATTTATTTTTAGAGAGGGGAAGGGAAGGAGAAAGAGAGAGAGAAACATCAATGTGTGGTTGCCTCTTGTACACCCCCTACTGGGGACCTGGCCCACAACCCAGGCACGTGCCCTGACTGGGAATCAAACCAGCAACCCTTTTTGTTTGCAGGCCAAAATGCGATTCATTGAACCACACCAGCCAGGGCTTATTTTTAATTTTATATCAAGGTATCTTAGAGAAGAAATGGTGAACTTGGTTTTTAATGATGAAAGCAATACAATCACCTAGTAAGAAAATTCAAATACAAAATAGTGTAAAAGAAATCATAAAAGTCACCCACCTCCATCTCAGTCCCACTACCTAATGAACAGTGTCTTGTATATTTATTTTCCCAGGAGTATGTCACACATAAACAAGCACTTTATAAAAAAATTACCCAAGTTAAATGATCTGAAATTTAAAAAGTCATTTTATTTATAAAAGAACAATATCATACTACAGAAAATGCTCTGATACACTGTTTTAAAATCCAAATAAACCTGAATGTCTTGTTGGTTACTGGTAAACTGAGTATTCTGAGCTTACATCAGGTATATTTGGTTCTATAAAACAATTAAAACTTTCCAGTCTTAAAAAGTATCATTAAAACTTTGAAAGTGAAATATTGTTGCAAGGAGAGTCCTGTAAATCATTCTCAGGACAAAATCTGAGAAATCAATCCTCAGCTTAAGCACTAAGACAAAGAGATGAGCCATCATAGTTGTTTCGGGTAAGTTCTCCCTAAGTGAGAGAGAGGGAGCTGAGAGCAGAGGGAACTAGTGGTACTAGGTCTATCACGGACTGGTATACAAAGCACTGCCTTTCAGAAAAGTTAATGACCAAGCAATGAAGTGGGATAGAGCTGGGGTGGTGATAGCAGCAAAACTGTTAAGCAGATAAAGGGGGAAAAAACCACCGACAGTGTATGAGATTCCTTCCTAAATGCTAAATCAACAGGCTCTGCCTTGAGTAGAACATTACACTGACTCCTCCCTTAGGAAATCATAGGGGTGATGCCACAGAAAGAGTGTAAAATAAACAAACAAAAGGGAGTGATTCCTCTATAAGACAAGAAACTTGGTATGTATCAGAAATATTAGCCTTTTTAATCAGTTAGTACTGCTCCGGGTTAGAACAGCACTTTTATTTGTATTGCTTTTCACCTTTCCCAGACACTTCAGAAACTGTTTTCCCAAGACAAAGGGAGAGAAGTACTATGACAACCGCCTCCCTCATGCTTGTGAAAAAGGTGGCAAGGCGGGAGGCCAAAGCGAAGGGCCTCTGCGGCGCACTGCCAGCAACTGACTGCGTGGCTCAGGGTCGCTTACATCCCTGGGTATGTGAAGACTGCTGCACACTTAGAAAAAATTTTTACTTTATGAAATACACTGGCTAAGACTTAAACTCTGAATTAATTTTACAAGCAAATTATCTGAATTCAGTGTTCCACTCCTAGACCTTTCTAAGCACAGGTATCCTTGATTTACCTTTCCAATTTTTGCTGTAGGACTTTTACTTCCTCCTTCAACTTCCGAATACACTCTCTCTTACTTCGAATAAGCTCTTTGTTCCTGTACATGTACCTAAAAAAAATAAGCCCCAAAACACAATTTATATTTAAAAACATTGATAACACTAAGTCTCGGCAAACTAGGATATAAGGAAACCCTCAATTAGACAAAGGGCATCTATGAAAACATAATTAACATCATATTTAAAGGTGAAAAATGAAAGCTTTCCTCTGGAGGCACAGCCTGGAGCTAATGAGATTTAAAAAAATCAATTACAATAAAATCAAACATGAATTTAAGGATGGACAATTAAATATGTGCAAGAACTGTACAATAAAAATGACAAAACAGTGAGAGAAATTCATAAAGCATTAAATAAATGAAGCTATCCTACCACATTAATGGTTAAAGGACTAAAACTTGTTAAATCAATTTCCCCAAATTGATCTGCAGATTCAATGCAATCCAATCAAAATTTCAATTGCTATCAGGTAGATATTGACAAGCTGATTCTAACTTTATACAGAAATGCAAAGGACCTGGGTAACCGAAGCAGTTTTGAAAAAAGGAAAACAAACTTGGAGAACTTATACTGAGGTCAAGATATATAATAAAACCACAGTAACCAAGACAATGTGGCACTGACAGAAGACCAGACCACAGGCAGAATAGAGACCCCAGAAACAGACCCACAAATATAAGATGAATTAATTTTGAGGAAAGTCCCAAAGTAATTCAACGAGGGATGGGAACGTCTGTTCGACAAACGGTGAGAGAATAACTGGACAGCCACAGGCCGCCTTCCCCTCCCCCGGAAAAAAGAAAAACCCTTTACCTCCCACTGCATATGAATACAAACTCTGAAAGGGTCACAGACATAAATCTAAGAATTAAAATTATACAATTTTTAAGAAAAAAATGGAAGAAAATCTTTGTGAGCTTGGTTCGGCAAAGATTTCTTAGTGAGAAGATAAAAAGCACAAACTATAAAAGAAAAACTGGTGTATTACACTTCATCAAAACTCAAACTCCTGCTCTTCAAAAACACTGGAAAAAAACCAGAAGAGACAAGCATACAGGATACATTTGAATTTGTATCAAAATATACTTTTTAAAAAACTCTTAAAACTCAGCAGGAATAAAACAAATCCAGATAAAGAAGTGGACAAACTATTTGAACAGATACTTCCCCAAATAAAATATACTAATGACCATTAATTACATATATAAAAAGATGTTCAGTATCATTAGTTATCAGGGATATATAAATAAAAAATAAGACAGTCCTATAAACCCACTATAATGGCTAATGCTAAAAAGACTGATAACTCCACATACCAGCAAGAATTTGGAGCAAACGGAGCTCTCGTACACTGCTGGTAGAAATGTAAAATTATACGGCCACTTCGGAAAACAGTTTGGGAATTTCTTATAAACATGTACTTTTCATACAACCCAGCAATCTCACTCCTGGGTATTGTACCCAGAAGCACTAAAACCCATACCAAGACTTTTATGTGAATGTTTCAGCAACTTTGCTCATAATAGCCTAAAAGTGAATACAACCAAAATGTCCACCAACTGGTGAATGGAAAAAATACTGTGGAACATCCATGCAAAGGAACACTACTCAGTAATACTAAGGAACAAATCACCGATACCGGCAACAACATGGATGAATCTCAAAACCATAATCGTAAATGAAAGAAGACAGCCACACCAAGGTATATACTAAATATTAATGTTCTTAATTATAACATTCTAGAAATGCATAACTAGAGGGCCAGAAAACGAGTGGCAGAGCCAAGGGATGGACTGCAAAGGGGCACACATACCTTTTGGGTGATGGAAACGCTCTATATCTTGGCAATGACGGTAGTTACCTGGCTACATACATTTGTCGAAACTCATTGGCTGTATACCTAAAAATGGTAACTTTTTTTCATATGGAAACTATACATCAATAAACCAGACTAGAAAGAAAAGACTGTGGGTACTCCACATACTGTTCTTCACCCTCAAATTTGCAGGGCTTCACCTAAAACCTAGCTCCCCAAATTGTGGTACAGAGATAAGAAGCATCATTAGCAGTATCCTGAGAGCTCCTCAGAAATGCAAATGCTTGTTCTGTCCTGGTGGCTCAGTTGGCTGGAGCATCATCCCATATACCAGAAAGGTCTCAGGTTTGATTCCCAGTCAGGGCACATACCTAGCTTGCAGGTTCCACCTCCTGTCAGGACACATATGGAAAGCAACCGACCTATGTTTCTCTCTCTCATCGATGTTTCTCTTTCTCCCTTCCTCTCTCTCTAAAATTAATAAACAAAATTTATTCTCGGATAAGGATTTAAAAAATGATTTATATGCATAATATACTTAGTATGGGCTCACTTCTGCTGCAATATATCAAAGACACACTTCCAGCCAAAATGAAAGTGTAGGTAGACACACTGTGCCTCCTTCACACAACAAAAGGAGGACAACAACAATTTAAAAACAAAAAACCCCCAGAACTGACAGAAAATTGAACTGTATGGAAGTCTGACAACCAAGGAGTTAAGAAACATTCATCCAGATGAGTAGGAGGAGCGAAGACCAGCAGCTGGGTAGAGAGGACTCCGGCTGGAGGGCTGGGGCAAGTAAGGCTGCCACTCACAGACCCAGGCTGGCAGCAGACTGGGGACTGAGTGGTCCCACATTCACATGTAGATAAGCCAGAGGAACAACTGGGGAGTGAGACAGACCTGCTATCCAGGGTTCCAGCCCAGGGAAATAAAGCCCCAAACCTCCGACTGAAAACACCTGTGGGGTTGAGGCAGCAGCAGGAGAAACTCCCAGCCTCACAAGAGAGTTCACTGGAGAGACCCACAGGGTCCTAAAATGTACACAAGCCCACCAACCTGGGAATCAGCACCAGAAGGGCCTACTTTGCTTGTGGGTAGTGGGGGAAGTGACTGAAAACTGGCAGAGACCATAACAAGTGGCACTGTTCCCTCTCGGCCCCATCCCCACATACAGCGTCAAAATGCAGCAACGTGGGTTGCCCTGCCCTGGTGAACACCTAAGGCTCCACCCCTCACTACATAACAGGTGCCCTGGGACAAAAAAACATGGCCCAAATGCAAGAACAGATTAAAGCTTCAGAAAAAATACAACTAAGTGATGAAGAGATACCCAACCTATCAGATGCACAGTTCAAAACGCTCGTAATCAGGATGCTTACAGAATTGGTTGAATATGGCTACATGAAAAAATGAAGGCTATGCTAATTCAAATATAGGAAAATGTACAGGGAACCAACAGTGACAGGAAGGAAACTGGGACTTAGATCAATAAGTTGGAACAAAAGGAAGAAAGAAACATTCAACCAGAACAGAATGAAGAAACAAGAATTCAAAACAATGAGGAGAGGCTTAGGAACCTCCAGGTCATCTTTAAACATTCTAACATCCAAATCATACAGGGTTACCAGAATAAAAAGAGGAAGAGCAAGAAATTGAAAACTTACTTGAATAAATAATGAAGAATTTCCCTAATCTGGCAAAGGAAATAGTCTTCCAGGAAGTCCAGGAAGCTCAGAGTCCCAAAGAAGTAGGATGCAAGGAAGCACACACCAAGCACATCATAATTATGTTACCCAAGATTAAAGATAAGAGAATCTTAAAAGCAGCAAAAGAAAAGGAGACAGTTGCCTACAAAGGAGTACCCCTAAGTCTAGCAGCTGATTTCTCAAAAGCAACCTTGCAGGCAAGAAGGGGCTGGAAAGAAGTGTTCGAAGTCATGAAATGCAAGACATCCAAGATGACTCTATCCATCAAAGATATCACTTAGAATGGAAGGGCAGATAAAGTGCTTCCCAGTTAAGGTCAAGTTAAAGGAGTGCATCATCACCAAGCCCTTATTATGTGAAATGTTAAAGAGACTTACCTAAGAAAAAGAAAATGATTAAAAATATGAACAGTAAAATGACAACAAACTCACAGTTATTAACAACCGAATCTAAAACAGAAACAAACTAAGCAAACAACTAGAACAGGAACAGAATCACAGAAATGGAGATCACATGGAGGGTTAGCAAAAGGGGAGTGGGAGGGTGAGAGAGGGGGAAAAGGTACAGATAATAAGTAGCATTAAATGGTAGGTAGAAAATAGACAGGTGAGGTTAAGAACAGTATAGGAAATGTAGAAGCCAAAGAACTTGTATGTATGACCCATGGACATGAACTAAAGGGGGGGAATTCGGGTGGGAGGGTATGTGCAGGGCAGAGGGGAACAAAGGGGGAAAATGGGACAACTATAATAGCATAATCAATAAAATATATTTTTTAAAAAACAAAATAAATAAAATCTTTAAAAAAAATCAGTTTGTCAAATTCCGAATAAAAACTTGCTGAAATTTGGGGGGGGGGGGGAGACAATCCATCAGAAGCACTCACCTGTCCATGTAAATTATCTGAGGAAATTCCAGTTTATTGTGAATTTTCTCTGGTTGACCAAGGGATTGATTGAACTCGAATCTTGACAGTTCAAAGGTCAACACTGGAGGTAGTTTTGTAAACCAACACTATGCCAGGAGTAGAAATGTGGGAGAAAGAAGTTATTTTTAGGAAATGGCAACAGCCAGACTTAAAATACCCCTCATCAAATTTGTTCTTTTGGTATAGAATTTATATTCAAAACAAACTCATACTAGGGCTTTTGTTCAATCTCATTTCCTAAGGGAAATGACGACTCAGAGTCATGCCCCCCCTGGGAACATGGCTGAACATTCCTCTACACTCCAACTCCACTGTCATCTCAGAAAGGACCACCCTTAAATACGGGAACTGCACCAAGCACCTACAACTCATTCATGAAGCCATCGGTACTCGAGAGATTGAAAACCTGAAGAAAATGGCTAGTCTAACCAGAGAATTAGAAACTATGATCTAAGTAGCATGTAAGTAAGGAGATAACTATCTCTATGAATCAGCTACAAACACTAATACGTGTACATATATTATGAACTATTTATTTATAGTCTATTAACCATAATTTGAATCGTCTTTGTGTCTAAAAATCAAACCTGGAATAGCCTCATGATTATGAGTTCTCAAGTTTCTGAGAAAACTTCTCAATTCCAACAATTGACAGCCTTCTTCTAAGAGACCCCAACAAATGAACCCACAATGTTACCTTGAATTTCAAGAAAAGAAAGGCCTAACTTATAAAAAGATCTCAACTGTCACTTCTCATAGATGAGGAACAGCTGAACCAGGAAAGGCATTTCTGTTCAGTTCACCTGGATGCCAGAGGTCTTTATGAACAGCTTTAAATTGTCCCCTTCACCAAAGGTACAGACAGCCGCATTCCCTTCACATACCCTTGTCGGCACGAGGTGAACCCAGATGGCCTGACTACCTCAGGGCTAAGCCCAAACAAGCATAATGATTTCATATATATTTATCTATTTAAAGAGTTCACACCCTTAAATAAAGGTCTGCAGAGGGCTGAGTAGCTAATAAACACTCCCCGTTCTGTAAGCACATTCACCACAGAGCTCTGCTCAGCTCTGCCAATCAGGACTTAGTACATGTTAGGCTCCCTATTTTAATTCAAAAAAGCTTTTCTTTCTCCTATAGTAATTATTGAGTTGGACTCATCATATAAGCTGCAATTTTGTCCAAAAATATATGATGAAAAGAGAATAATCCAAGCTGTGTGGTGTTGACAGTACTGCTGCAAATGCAACTCACTCATTCTTGACCCAGCTAGAATCTTGAAATATTAATTACCCTTGTTCTCCCTCTAATGTCCCCTTTTCTTTCCAACCCACAAAAATAAATAAACGAATATAAAATTTAAAAAAGAAAATTTAAAGCAAAGGCAGAAGTTACAATTGAAAACAGTAAATACTATAATAGGGAAAATATTCTAAATGGCATACCATAGGAGTTAATCACTGTACTTTTACCCTCCGAAAATATGGAGGAGGTGGGTTCTCCCTACTCAGGTACAGGTAGGCTTCAACAGAAAGAGAGAAACTTGATCATACTTGAAACATCAGAAGCAGCATGCAACCTTTACACGATTAACTCAAATTCCAAATTCATACTTTTGGTAAAGAATTTATTTGTCAAATAGTAAGACTTAGTAACTCGTATCAACTCATGACAGACTTCAGACTAGTTGAAGTTCTGTTAAGTGTAAAGTTATTTGACATGTGATGGGAAAACGAGTGGCCAAAACACTCAGTCCTAGTGAACTGGCTTTGTCTTCGGCAAACCAAATAAAAATAAGCAACTCACCTCTTGTCCGTACTTCAGTGAATGATCGGAAGGAAGCAGCTCAACATCACCCTCCACCATGGCCCCTTCCAAACATTCGTCTAAGTTGCGATAACCATTTACCTGAAGGGGATACTGGCCGAAGGTCTCATTGTTACAAAAGGGCTTTCCTAGACAAAGAAACATTACTTTTTAAAAGACATTACTACCATAGCACTATCCAAAGCCTTTTTTTCTGGTACCACAAGGACATTACCTTCTTAATTCAACAACATCCTGTGAACTGATATGAAGTGCAACCTGTATGAACCAGTGAATCCAGGCACTGACCATTAACAACAGCTAACGTTGCAAAGAGAAGGGCAACCAGACATTAAATGCCTCCAGATCAAGACTATCCCACCGCCCGTAAATCTGGTTTGCCTAAAAAAGCCTTACCTGAATCCAGTCTCTAGCTGCGACTACTAATTTATGACAAGAGGAGTAGAGAAGAACATGTTAAACTGTATCTCAGGTATGCAAGCGGCAGAATATCAGCATGTGGGGATATAAATACTGGAGAACAACCCAATTTCTTTTAAAAAATTCAAGGAAAAAAGACTGACAGATGAGGGAGAGGTTGTAGATTTTGAAAAGATACTTAAATATATCAACCAATCATCAATGAACCACATTTGGATCCTAATTAAAATAAAACTGTACCCTGGCCAGGAGGCTCAGTTGGTTGGAGCGTCATTCCACACACCAAAAGGCTGAGGCTTCGATACCCAGTCAGGGCACATACCTAGGTTGCGGGTTTGATCCCTGGTCACAGCACGTATGGCAGGCAACTGATCAACGTTTCTCTCTCTCCCTCTCTCTCTAAAAGCAATGAAAAAATGTCCTCAAGTGAGGATTAAAAAAAAAAAAGAAACTGTAAAAATAAACACTCACACTCTCCCTCCATATATAATTATACAACAAATTAACCATTTGAACACTGACTAGATATTTGATGTAAGAAATACTATTTTCTTTGGAGTGACAGTATTGTTGTTGTTTTTTTAAAGAATATCAGAAGGGTAAGAGTAGGCAGGGGTTACATGGGGAATGACTGGCCATGGACTGACAGCTGCTGAGTTAATGGAAGCTTTTATACTAGTCTATCCATGTGCTCAAAATTCTCTATACTTGGAAACTAAAAAAAAACCTCATGTGTCCAACATGTGGCTTCTCTGGTGGACAAACATTTCTGGCAGCCTAACACAATAAAACCTTTTGAGATTAGATATTACATTGGAAAAAAAACAACAGAGAAAATTGAGTTACATCACTGTGTGTCTAAAATTAACACTAGATTTGAGCAATGCGAATGTCACACAGTTTACTGTAACAACGCTGAGACAACGACCAGGCCCGTCTTACAGGTGAAGAGATCAAGGATCCAGGAGCTCACACAATCTGTCCACAATAAACGCAGATACTAAGAGGCAGAGCCAACATTCAGACCTGTGTTTGTCAGATTCTCAAGCCTTTTCATTACACTGCCTTCCCAAATTGACACAGTCATACAGATTTGGTCACAGGACTAGCATCAACGTTTAGAGCAGAGAATTTACCTTCACGAACTCCTTCAGTGAGGAAAGTCCCGTAGAATAACTGCACCATTGGATTTTCAGATTTGTTCCTGGGATTGCTGCTTTTAAAAAAGGAGACAACTTAGTATCATTTTAATAAGGTAAGCACTACACTAACCCCAACCATCATTCAAAAGCAAAAACAGGACATGTTCATTAAACTCCAAAGAGCCATGTATAGTTTAAAATAAGTAATGAATTATTTCAATCCAAACATTCACTGAACAAGTATATGCTAAAATCTGAAAACACAAAGATAACAAGGCATGATCCCTGACCTTAAGGAGCTGAAAGTCTAATACATGTATTTGTATACATTCCATATATATATATCTCTCTCTCCAAGGTAGACAAGGTATAGAAGTAGTACATAGATAAAAGGAGGAACCCTCTTGTGCAGATTGGCAAATACACAGAAAAAAATTTTCCCAGTGGCATAATAGTAATGGAATGAAAATACAGTTGACCCTTGAACAATAAGGAGGTTAGGGGAAAAGGTGAAAATCCACACATACTGCCCTGACTGGTGTGGCTCATTGGACTGGGCATCATCCTGCAAACCACAAGGTTGCCGGTTCAATGCCCAGTCAAGGCACATGCCTGGGTTGTGGTCCAGGTCCCCAGCTGGGGGCATGCGAGAGGCAAGTTATCAATGCTTCTCTTGCACATTGATGTTTCTCTCCCTTCTTTCTTTCTCTCTCTCACTCCCTCTAAAAATAAACGAATAAAATCTTTTAAGAAGTCCGTATATAACTTTGATGCCCCTGAAACTTAACTACTAATAACCTACTGCTGACCTGAAGCCTCACTGATAACATACACAGTTGATTAGCACCTATTTTGGATGTTATGTATTATATACTATATTCTTACAAAAAAGTAAGCTAGAGAAATTATTAAAAATCATAAAATACATATATATTTTCTGCACTCATGACATACCTAAGTTTTTCTTAAATTTCAAAAATATATCTAGGCTATATGGTTCATCTGTAAGTTTTTTCAAACTGTCACAAATCTCCAAAAAAGTTTTCTAATATATTCACTGAAAAAAAATTAATGTGTATATGAACCTACACAGTTCAAATCCATGTTGTTCTAGGGTCAACTGTAGTTTATATCTACAAGCCTACCTTAAATTGTTATTAACTATATATGTTTCTATATGCACAGCTGTCTTATACATTTCTTCTACACAGAGTTCTAGCAATTCAGAAAACAAACTTCACAGCACCTGTAATGGGTGAGGGATACCTGTATCTTTGTCCTGAATTTCACTTCTTTCAATGACTGATATGACTAAATGCTATTCTCTAACAGTCTACATAGATTTCAAAAGTTGTCTTAGATTAAATTTTATGTATCTATATTAGGCCACCATGTTCACATCCACACATTTTATAGCACAGGCTATGACTTTAACAAAGTTAATATTTATGGCCCTTTTAGCAAAAAAAAAATATATGAGTTGACATGATTACCTATTATCTTCAGAGAAAAGCAAAGGCAATGGGATACACAAGGACAAATATATGAGTGGTTACCCCATGAAGTTTTGTAAAAACCAGCAGTTTCTACCTGAGTAACCTTCCCCCTTATCATAATTCTCACTGGACCAATGTGAGTAAGTAGGAGGTACAAACAAATCCTTGACACTCACTTAGTAGTAACAGCTAGCTGGAATGCATCCTCTAGCCAATCCAGGAGCTTGTGTGTGAATTCACTGACATCTTGCTATAAGAGAGGAAATAACAATTTGCATATGAGTTAGTCTCAAGACTACACTTAGGGAAACAAACATTTGCTCTTACCTCACCGATAACTAAGATTCTGTTACCATAAAAGCATTTCTATTTTAGAGCCGGATATCATAAAGATACAAGCAATACTGGAACCCAGCTACTACAGATAAAACAGAAGGTGTGTTAGGCAGTCTCTAAGATGTGGCTGGAAGGAAACTGGAATTTTGCTACTTCCAGCCACATCTTGTAACAAACTAACAAAATCTTCCAGTTAGGCCTTAAAAAAAAAAAGGTCGAAAGAACACACGGTACTCCTCTAGAATTTGTGTGAGATCTGAATAGAGACAGGACACTTGTGAAATATTTTGAGATCTTGTAGAACTGTAGGACCCTTAGAGAAAAAAATTAATTTTATGAGGAAGAAGCCACTCAAATAGTGAGAGCTTTGTTTTTTAATAGGAGGCAGTGGAAAGAAAGTACTAACATTTAGAAGAGTGCTAAGAAAAGCCGCTGAACTCAGGTTTAGATAGTTTGATAGCTACGATTTTTATCTGCGCCATCCCCAGACAAAGGACTTTACTTTTCTCAGTGACCCTTTGCTAGGATTCACTGAGATGTTTTCCAGTCTCTTACTTCAAGGGCCTCTGTATAATTCTCTCCTGTCGACTACTACTTCTTCCCTTTAGATTCCTTTGTAGAACTATCAGCCTACCTGCACCCCCAACACACACTCTCTCTCTTTCTCTCCCTCTACCACCACCTGTTCCTGAGACATTATAAAGGGCAAAGGCAGGCACCCATAGGCCTGTTCAGTCATGTTCACAGTTTATTATACAGTTAAAATAAAGCAACATTACAATATTATTAGTTATGATTTGAATGCCACAAAGTTTAAGGGAAAACATGCAAAAACAGCCTTCTGCACCTGCTGCTCCTCAGGTGATCGGAACGCTCCCTTTAAGAGATCCAGGGCTGCTGACGGGTCTACAAACTTGCGATTTGATCCCATCATCAGGGCAAACAAATACTGAAGCTCTTGCATAAACATGATATTTCTCTTTTCCTGTAAAACACACAGCAATGTGCACTCTTACAACCTCTTACTTGGAAAATTAACACATATAAAGAGAAAGTCATCAGTGATCGCTCCCTAATTTATATTTACCTAGATCTAGACCAGGGGCAGGTCTCAAACTATGTTACCAGTGCTCTGATACAGTCTCTGTAGCAGATCACCCTAACCTGAAAGAATATCAGTGTAGAAGCAATAGAGAAAATGGTGTCAGAAAAGCAAACAGGTTTGCTTTCTGAAGCTGTTGTCCTCCCTCCTGTCACCCAAGTGAAATACTGGGAAGGCATAGATCACTGGCAAGAGGCTTCATCCTTTGGCAAGAAACTATGAAAGCCTCTTCTAGGAAGGTCCTGACCGCCAGCATCTGGTCATCTCTTCTGCACCACTGGGTCTGAGTGGCTATGTGAACAGGAGGCAGTGCAAAGAAAGTACTAACATTTAGAAGAGAGCTAAGGAAAGCTGCTGAACTCAGGTGAAAGAGGGCCACAGTGAAGAGGGCCACGGACAGAACAGGGATTTCTGCATCTCCCGAATGCTGAGACCAGCAGGATGACGCATAGCTTTCTTGGAGCCATTTTTCCAATTGTATTGCTACTTAACTTTATCTTTGTGCAAATCCTTATTTTCTTGTCACGAAGAAGGAAAAAGAACCATCTGAAGTGAAAATAACATTAGCACAAGCCAAAAAGCATCATAGTTACTAACTTTAGCCGAAAAATTAAAAGCTTTTGGGACAAAAGGGACGAAACAACAGTGAAGATTCCTCAACAGCAACTTACTGTGTGACTTGGACAATTTTCAAGGACATTCTGTGGCAGACTGTAGCTCAGAACAAGTCTTCGAAATTCAGGCAACTGAAAGAGAGACTGAAATAAAGAAAGAAAGGAATTCATAGCATTTCTTCAAAATAACTCGAAGCAAAAAATACTGTCAACATAGTAATTCCACTTCTATTATGTCAAAGAAAATAATAATGACTATGCATTAAAACTGAGCTGAAGGAATGTTAATCCCTTTAGTAAAAACCTAAAAAGAACCTAACAACTAACAAGAGGAATAGACTAAATAAACTACAGCATATTTATACAGTAGACTACTATGCAGTCATTAAAATAATTTTGTAGAAAACATGTTTTCATAAAATGGACTGCTAGACAACAGTGAAAATGAATTAATCAAGAGCTACAAGAATCAATATGGATCACAGACATATGAACTGTGTGAAAAAAGTTGCAGAAAAAGTATATTTTTATATTAATAGAGTATATTATTTATGTTAAGTATCATTATATATAAAGTCATATTACACACTGTTTAGGATTCATACATATGTGATCATATCTGAGGGGAGGGAGGATAGGACTGGGGATGGGCACACAGGGATTCAATAGAACAGAGATCGGTAATATTTATTTCTGAAGCTGGGTAATAAGTATAGAGAAAGAAGCATTCTTTTAATTGTTTTGTAAATCATACATTTTTCTACTATGAATATCTTTTGAAAGGTAATGTTCTTCAAATTCCTTATATGACTGACCATAACTCCTTATCACAAACTACCTTTTAAATGAAAGCCCCTGCAGCCTGCACACTGAAACTTTTTTTTTGCCAAATGTTTTTCTTTGTTTTTATTTAAGTTGTTGTTCAAGTGCAGTTTTCTGCCTCTTACTCCCACGCCAGCCCACCCGCCCAGCCCTCGCCACCTCCCTCCCATTTCCACCCGCCCCCTGCAGCCCGTTCTTGTCCATGTGTCCTTCATACTTGTTCCTATAAACCCTTCCCCTTTTCCCCTGAAATTCCCTCCCCTCTCCCCTCTGGTCCCTGTCAGCCTCTTCTCTATTTCAGTGTCTTTGGTGATATTTTGCTTGTCTGTTTGTTTTCTTGATTAGGTTCCTGTTAAATGTTTCATTTTTTAAATGTAGACACAGATCCTATATTGAGTTTTACCAAAAAAATAAGTATGGCTTCCAAACAGCATTCAGTGTAATGAGGTGTAAGAGTGACAATTAATATAATTCAACTGCTTTGACCTAAACACTTACTGCTTAAGTACATCCTACAACAGAACTTGAGAAAAGCTAAAAACTGTTTAATAGTTACAGTTCACTCAACTTAGTTACATCCTAGATGAATATGTGTTCAAAAATACTGAACCTTAAGTCTTTAAAACAGTCCTGATTTCTACTTAAAGCATCAATCACAAGCTCATACTGCAAAATTGTTAAACTTGTTTGTTTGTTTTTTAACAATGCTGACCAAGAGTCAGTGATAAGGATCAGTTACATTCCCCATCTACCACTCATTCTGGACATGCTAACCAGCCCTTCCACTCCATTCACTCCCATGATGCATGGCGTCCACTAAGGTAGTAGCTGCTGTTCACTGCTCCTTGGCTGCTTAAGCAGCATCCAGGGTAGACAACTGGTCTCCAACTTCCCTCATGCAATCACAAGGCCCAATGGGATTCAACCACTAGGGTGAGTGTATAACTGGACTGGGACCAACGGCTCACTGTCTTCTTCCACCTCAACTGTCTAGCTAACCCAGTTACACTCCTACTCTGCTTACCACCCTGTAATTTTCCAGGTCTTCAGTTCTACCAAGAGAAAAATGGCCTCCCATTTTCAGTTATGTCACTCCATCTCCTCACATTCACCAAAGTCAAGCTTTCCCTCAAAATACTACTGTTCTTAAAAAACACCAAAGAGCACTCACTCCCATTTCCCAATCCATTATCTACATGATCCTCCAACATCTGCTTCTCCTGTATTCTCTGTTATCACTTAATCACATCCTTTCTCCAGTTATCAAAGTTTAGAAATTCAGAGTTATCTTTGAATCCTTTCCCTTTCTTAACCACCCACATCTAATAAGGAAGAAGGCCCTTGGACTCACCCTCTGGGGTGCTACATATAACCACCTCCTCCCCATCGACTGCTCTAACTGAACTCCCATCACTGTTCACCTGGATCACTGCACATGGTCACCCTGCCTCCAGAAACTCCGCTGTACCATTTACTTGCCATGCAGGTTCTTCTCTCTTTCTAAAATGATCAAATAATGCTCCTGACTCGAAGATCATTACCTAGAAATAGTTCTTATGGTTAACCCCCAGTCCTGTCATCCTTCTAGGAGGCTTCAGTCAACATTCAATCCATGGGGCATCCTGTCAGCTCTACCTCCACAATAAATCAAGAATCCAGACTCTTCTCTGTTTCTACAGCTACCCACCTGGTCCAGGCCACCATCGCAACTCATGGAGATGACTGGAGTAGCCTCCTTAACAGGTCTTCCACTTGCACCTTTGCTCACAGTAGCCAGAGTGGGCTTCTAAAACTTAGGTCAGAGTTCATCATTCCTCTGTTAAGAGCCCTCAGTGACTCCCCATCTCTCACAGAAAAAAAGACAACACCTCTCCAATGACTCTCCCTCCACTCTTAGCATTTCTGCCACTTGGGACTTCTCAGACATCCTGTGCACATTCATGTGCACTGGGACTCCTGGACACAGCACTCCCATTTTAAAGTATTGCTCCGTGGTTTCCCCGACTTAGAATGTTCTTTCTTCACAGCCACCTGGCTCACTCCTTGTCCTCCTGCATAGCTGGCATTTGTTCCTGTCTCATCTCAGCCTAACATCATGGTTTACATTGCAATCTGCTTCCATCTCTCCTGCAGCAAGTACAATCGCTCTTACCCTGATCTTTTTTCTATCACACTGATTGTTGGGAACTGCTCTGCCTGGTTTCAGGAGTTTTAACTATCCCCTATGGCTAAGGCTGAGTGAGCAACCTCCGAAATATGATCCACAAGGAGACAAAGCTTGTCTCTGGTAGCAAACGCTGCCTCTGCTTCCTCCCCCTGCCCCCAAAGCTTGGTCAATTAGTCCATGACAGGTACGACTCCTCAGAGAAGGGGCAACCTAAGCCAGACACGATTACTTGGGAGGCCATCATGGAAGGACTCAGGGACTGCAACAAAGAGGGAGTGATGGACCTTCACCACCCCAGCTTTGACACAGCCCAAGTCCCCATGTCCTCTGGCAGAAGCACTTCCTGGCTCTAATCCTGAAAACCTATGATGGGGAGGCAGTGCGGTCCTCCGCCAGCCAGAGTGGGATCTGGGGTAATCTGGCATAACAAAGAATTCCTAAAAGTTCTGTGAAGCCTGCTTTGCTAAGAGTGCTTTCATTCACATGATAAGGGTCCGAGCAGGAAATGAGTATGTCTCCCAAAGTTTCGGCAACCCCCTTTCCTGACAGACACTGACTCAGACTAAGCCCTCAGATTTCTTTGATATGTTATCTACTGTTTGATCCTTGCCACCTGTATTCCTGTGTACTGCAACCCAATAAAAGCCCCTGGAGGAAGGGGCTCCTGGCCTTTTTCCTCTGAGAAATTGGCCACCTCTCCTCCCCAAGCAGATCATGTCTTGATAGTGTTACTTTCATCTGTGGCAGACAGGGGGACTTGAGGGCAAAGTCACCCCCACAACTGATCACAGTCTAACATATTATATAAATGTATTTAAATGTTAATTCCATAATGGTAAGGCTCTGTCATGGTTTTGTTCTCTCCTGGATCTCAAGGGCCTAGAACAGTTCTAGACATACAGTAGATGTTGAACTTAAAGGCACATGTTCATCCCTTCAGCCTAGCGACCCTCTGTCCTCCTGAGCATCCTCGCTCTAGTGGCATATTCCTCCATTCCTTCTCTAAGCCCACACTTAAAGCCATACCCGGGATATGTCCATGCCTGAAAAACTGCCAATTCTCAGATCACAAATTCAGAAAATTCCACTCTTGAACCATAATCTGTCTTGTGGCTCATTTATTCAACTACCCACAGGATGCTATCCTTCGATTTCATCAGGAACCTGGGCAAACTGACCTCTCCTTTTCCCCATTAGTTCTTTCCTGTCTTCATTTCCCCCTCTCTAGTTTTGATTCCATGGTTTGTAACCACCCCTCATTAAATTCTCTAACTGCCCTATGTTTTTCATCATACCCCGCAAGTCCTCCAACCTAAATGAATTTGATTTTCCACTCAAGTTTCAGAGCACTGCTAAAAAGAAGTCCCAATAAAAACAGGGCATACTGATACCACCATATGTTCAAGGTTGACAACCTCAAGTAGACTTTCAAATTTTTAGAAATCTGGTGCCAACTGGTTTCCCACTGTCTGCAACACCTCTTTTAAACTTTTCACTCCACTTCAAATCTGACTCTATCACTTCACCACCCTGTCTCCAAAAAAACTGGCTGCTTATTTCACAGGAACAAATGATTATTAAAAACTATGTCAACTTTAATTGGGAGTCATCATTTCTTTCTTCTTCTTTCCCCTACCACTCTCTTGCCCTTTTCCTACATTCCCTTCCTATGTGACCGCTCATGCTTTCGCAGAAAAGCTTACTTCCTTATCCTTCTATTGCTAGTTCTTTACGATATCTCTCACAGGAGTGAAGGTTGAAGGGGATGTCAATACAGGCAGAGTTCTTAATCTCCGTTTCCAAGAACTGACTGATGTCCTTAACTCTACATTACCTTCCAAATTCTATTCTCAGCCAGATTCCAGTGATCCTCTTAAAATGGAAGTAGGACCATATCGCTTCTTTGCCTCAAAGTTCCCAACACTTTCCCATGTCATATATAATCCTAAATCCTCATCATGAATCTAAGCTCCCCACCCCACCTCCACCTTTCTGACTTCATTGCTATCTGTCCCCCTCTCCCCCATCACTCAGTCCTGGCCTTCTTTCCTATTTCTCAACTCATTAAGGAAGCTCCTGAACCTGGGTCTTTGACTTGCTTTTCCCTCTGTCTACATTATGTTTATATAATTACATGAAATATTCTTTATGTACGTTTATGGCTCATTCTCTTCCCTAATGCAGGCCTCTGCTCACATGTCCACCTCATCAAAAAGGTCATACCTAACCACCCTATATAAATAACAGCCCTCCCTCTGTAGCCAAACCTTTCTGGGCTCCTCTTACCCTCACTCACTTGTCTGTAGAGCACTTATTACCACCTGATACATATTTTGTTTACTGTGTTTCCCACTCTTTCCAAGGTAAACTCCATGAGAGTAAGGGTTGTTTAATTCACTGCTGTTTCCCCAGTGCTAAAACAGTGCCTGGCACATGAATGCATGGATTTTGTGTGGAAAAGGAGGGTTCCACTTCTGGCTGAGTCAAGCAAGATGATGGAGAAGACTGAAGAGGTAGGATCAAGTGCTGCCTCGTGGCCACATGAGGTGTAAGACGTCTGAAGACAATTCCAGAGAGGCGACTCTCTCTCTAAGGGACTTCGTCTCCAGGGGTGTCCACTCTGCCGCCTCTGGGCCGCACGTGGCCCAGGCTGGCTGTGAGTGCAGCCCAGCACAACATCATACATTTCCTTAAAACACTGAGATTTTTTTGACTATGTCTTGCAATGTATTTAATATGTGACCCAAGACAATTCTTCTTCTTCCAGTGTGACCCAGAGACACCAAAAGGTTGGACACCCCTAAGAAACCCTTGGCTTTATTACCACCCATGCTACTGATTCCCAGAATTATATCTGCAGCCCAGATCTTTTTATTTAACTATAGACATATATATATATATATACATACACATATATTTATATATACATATTTAACTCACCACAAGATACCTTCATGTGACACCTCAAACTCAGCACGTATACAACTGAACTGATTCCTGAGGCCTGCCCTCACAAGAATCAGTGTTTTGAGGTGCAAAATTGCCAGGGCCATCCCAATAGCAGAGTGCCCTTGTCACAGCAGCACTTGGGCCACGTGACTGGGTTTGAGACTGGAGGTCATGACCACCCTGCAAACCCTCCTGGCTCCACTCTGTCAGGAGGCAGGTGGTTCCAGGAGTGGGATGGCAGCAGACACTAGGGTGATGGGCACATCGGAGCAAACCCTGTGGGGAGTATGCTGTTGGCTGGCTTTTCAAATGGAGCTGGAAGGGTCCACAGGGATGCTCTGTGCCTTCTTGCTGGGTTTAGTTAAAACTGGAAGCCTACTGATAAATTAATCCTAAAAGTCACTTCACAAAGTAAATCCAGATTGTCACGCAGGAGCATGAAGGTGGCGGAGGAGTCCTGGCCCTCTCTGGAGATACTAGGAGGAAAATCTGCACATGTGTATCAGGGAAGATGGGCAACCCAGTCACGTCATCAAGAGAAAAACTCAGCTGTTCACCTGGGAAGCTCAGTGAAAGCGGGACAGGCAAGGCCATCCACCTGCAGGGGTAGCAGCCCAGATGTGAGTGCTCCCGTCACTGCAGTAAGGAGGATGGGGCGAAGTCTGCCCATTTCTCACATGAGGGACTCCAAAGCCATGGTGGGGCCCTGGAGGGTCATCTGGCTTCTCAAGTCTTCCTCAACAACCTGGCTTTGTTCTCTTAATCCCTCTGTATCACAGAGTATGTGACACACTTTTTTTCACCCACTCAATTCACTCACTCATTCATCTATTCAAGAACCCCTGAGAGGTGAATTACACACTGGTTCTGCCTTCAGGGAGCCCACTGTCTAGAATGTGATTCTTTTAAGTATTTAGAAGTATTTTTAATGAAAAGAGCATTATCTGCGGATTCAGAAAACATAAAAAGTTAAAATGAGGACTCTGGACTAGCGTACCTTAATAGTCCATGATTCTTTAAGTGACAACCTATCTTATTTTTCTTACATATCTTGGCTCTGCCACCTAATAAATATTAGGGAAAAAAACCAAACTAAAATCTCATTCCTAATACGCACCCAAATTAGCCCTTCTGAAGTGTCAAATGGCATTCTCATCCACCTGGTTATCCAAGCCAGAAAACCTGGGAGTCTCTCCCAGCCGTCTCCTGCACGGACCCTGGATCTAATCGCTTCCCAAACCCCGCAGCTCTGATCTCCTAAAGGCCTCTGGAATGACTTCCTTCTCCTCCTCCACGACATACGCCACTTCTCTGTTCCCGACTGGCTGCCCAACAGTCAACTCGTCATTAGCTCTTGCTCTGCTATAACGCGATTTTCACTAAATGCTGATCCAAAACACCCATTCGACATATTTAGAACCACAGAAGACGTTGTTTTTTAGCACTGCCCAATTTAGACACCAGAGCATATGAACCCCAAAACACAAGAAAGCAACCAAACACAATAATGCCGTGGGGAAACCTTCCCATTTTACATATGTGTTTCCATGTTTTTAAAGCTAGGCTTCTCACATTTCAGTTTAATAAATTACAATTTGTTTCCAGAAGACGCCATTGTCTCTTTAAAAAACCATACCTGAATAACAGCACTAAACCAACACGTATTGCCAACATTTTTCAGCCCAACCGGCCAACCATCAGCTCGCCTCCAGTCATTGGGATTGGGGTTTTCCCCCCAGACTTCACAGCGTTTTCTCTTTGAGCGTTTAGTTTCTGCAGCAGTTACCTCGTGCATCCTACATTGTGCCAACATACCACACATCAAAAAAGGAAAAAGTTAAAGAACAGTTACTATATGGAGGATGTTGATAACCTTTCATAGGTTGTTCAAAATGCCAGAAAACTTTTTTAGGTAATTACTGGCTACAGAGTAATTATAAGATTATAACCTGCCCTGGCTGGTGTAGCTCAGTAGATTGAGCATGGGCCTGCAAACCAGAGGATCACAATTCGATTCCCAGTCAGGGCACATGCCTGGGTTGCAGGCCAGGTCCCAGCAGGGTACACACGAGAGGCAACCATACATTGATATTTCTCTCCCTCTCTCCTTCCCTTCCCCTCTAATGATAAATAAATAATATCTTAAAAAAAGATTATAACCTAAGTGAAAAGTAAGGTTTAAACATTGAGATATTAATTCTTCCATAACAGAGATTATTATTTAATAAGGTCCCAGATAGAACTGACTGAAGACTCAAAACTATTTATGGCTACCATATGAAAACTTTTAGATTTCAACAGCAGCGCCTTATCTCAGACCACCGTCATGGAATGAGGCAGAGAGACAGCCTGCTAAAGAGCCCAACTGTCTGGTACCCAAACCACGCCCCTGTGTCTCCCTAAAAGAAACAACTCAACACTACGAGGGAATAAACACATCTGGAAACTGACAGCCCACCCCAATGGAACTGGTATTTGTGAAAAATTCCAAACAATCACCAAATTAGTACCAATTGGTACCAAAAGATATATTCTCTGTTCATTTCTGAGACAAGGTAGCTGAGTCACTATTTCATTTTCAAATAGTCAACATAACCCTCAAAGTGTACAAAGGCTCAAAGTTTATAAGGACATAAATATTTATTGGATAGTTTAGGATTGGTTCCTCCCCCCCACCATCAATCACCAATTATGAAGTACAACATTTGCAGTCTTCTACTCAGACCACAGGATGCAATGAGATATTTATAACTGGCTTTTTCAAAAGTGAACCAGAGTAAGTAAGCTAATGTGAAATTTAAATTTCCTCCTAAAAATTTTTAATTCAGGTGCAATTAAAGGAGCATGGCAGAATTGTTCTTGAATGACACAAGAGCTATTGCCTTTGACCTACACACTAATGTGGGCAGCAAAGATTATAAATTAAATCAATTACCTGTTAAGATCTCGTGCATCAGCTTTAACTTTAGGGGACTCCAGTAGACTCAAAGCAATAGCAGCCTGAAAATCATCTTTGTTCTCATGAGTAAGGTCTATTACTTCTGTAAGATACATTGAAATTTAATTAGTCTACATGCAGAAAACACCGTTCTCTCTGTATTGCAGAAAAATGTAAAAGCATTCATAAAATTAGATATATTCAAACTCACACATATTACGAATGCAAAAAACCTAAACAAAACAATAGTGAACAGAATCCTGCTAATATGTAAAAAAAGATTATATATTAAGGCTAAGTTGGGTTCACTATAGGAAACATTGAGTTAACATTAGAAAACAGACCAGTAAAATTTACTATCTTAACAGTTAAAGAAAAAAATGATAAGCTCAACAGATAAAAGTAGTTGATAACATTCGAACTCTATTCAAGAATAAAAACTCCAAGCTACCTAGAAAGAGAAGAGAATACTCTCAGGCTGAGAAAGAGATCACATGAAAAGCCCAATGCAAATTTTATACTTAATGGTGAATGAAATGTTAAACATGCTTTCTTGAAAACCAAGACTAAGACAAACAAGTCTACTATCAAGGCTTTTATTCACTATGGTTCTGAAAGTTCTGATTAGGTAATAAGAAAATAAAACAAAAAATAAAATTTATAAAAATATAAGTATTAGGAAATAAGAAACAAAGCTGTCATAATTCACAAATGATGATCACCTGCAAAGGAAACCCAAAATAATTTACAGAAAATAGTTATAATTAATAAAATGTGGTTAGATAAAAGATCAATGTACAAAAGTTAAGTGAACTTCTATACATCAGCAATGAAGAGCATTTAATTTAAAAAAAAAAAAACCACAAAACTGTAGTAGTCAAGACTGTGGGCTACTGGCCTAAGGAAAAACATACAGATCAATGGAACAGAAATAAACCCTCATATTTATGGTCAACTGGTTTTCATCACTAGGTCCAAGACAATTCAAAACAGAAAGCACCTTTCCAACAGATGGTACTGAGACAAGTAGATAGGCACATGCAAAGGAGTGACTTTTATACCCCTCCCTCACACCAGTTACAAAATGAGCTTACAGAGGATTGTGCCCTCATGATAACAGCTAAAATGTTTGTGACCTTGCATTAAGCAATGGCATCTTGGAGATAATATCCAAAGCACAAACAACCAAATGAAAGAATAGATAAATTTGACACCAAATTAAAAACAACAACAACAAAAAAAACTTTTGGGCTTCATCATCAAGAAAGTGAAAAGAGAACCCACAAAATGGGAAAAAATTGTAAATCACATATCTAGTAAAGGGCCTATATACAGACTATCTAAAGAATTCCTCCAACTAAATGATAAAAAAGACAAATAGCCCAATTTTTAAAATGGGCAAAGATTTTGAACAGGTATTTTTCCAAAGAAGATATACAAGTGGCCAGCAAGTACATGAAAAGATGTTCAACATCACTAGCTATACAAAGTAATATAAATCAAATAGCTCACGGCAGCCTTGTTTATAATAGCAAAAAATGTGAAACAACCCCAAAGTCAATAAATACATAAACTATGGTATATTCAGACCATAAAATACTACACAGCAATGAAAATAAATGAACTACAGTTATAACCTTCAACATGGATGAGTTTTCCAAAATACTGATTGAAAAAGTCACTGTGTGTGCCATAGACAGATATAAGAATATTTATATCAGCATTACTCAGAATCACTCAAAACTACAAAGAAACCAAATATCCCTTAACACCATCCAACCAGCCGATGGCTTTCTCCTGGAAGCCTCCTTGGCTTCCGAAGTACCACTCCCTCAGTTCTCTTGGTCTTCCTCCAACCTCCCTGGACATTCCTTATCTCCCAGGCCTCCCTACACTGGGAGTGCCCAATGATTAGTCACTAAACCTTTTCTGTTTTCTATACATTCTCCCTTGGAGAATTCACCAATTTCATAACTTTACAAACCACTTACAGGTTTATGATCCCAAGTTTTATCTCTCTCCGGCCCAGATCTCTCCCCTCCACCTGAATGGCGTGTTTTAACACTCCACCTGATGTCTAACTGACATCCCAAATTTTATACTGCCAAAACCGATCGCTTCATCTTCCACCCCAAATTTGCTACATCTGCAGTCATTCCCATGTCAGTTAAGTGCAACTCCATCCTTTCATCTGCTTGGGTGGGGGGGACCCTGAGTCACTTTTTACTCTTCTTTCATAAACCTTATCTCCTCTGTCAACAAATCCCATAAAACAAGCACTTCTCACCCCTCCACCACTACATCCTGGCCCACCCAACATCATCTGCAATAACCTCCTGACTGGTCCTTGGCTCTCTGCTCTGACCCAAGTTCACTAGCCACTCCTCCACATTCTGTTTCCAACATAGCAGTCAGAATGATGTTAGAAAACAAAAACAGCCTGGACCATCCCCCTCCTCCAAATTCTCCATTGGCTAACCCTCTAACTCAGAATAAAAGCCAAGTACTTACGAAGGCTCTGCATGACCTGCCTCCTGTCCACTCTGTGGCCCCATCTCTCACTGCCCTCTTCATTCACTAAGTCTCAGCTCTGGCTTCCTTGCGGCTCCTCAAGCAAACCAATGTATATTCCCATCTTAAGGCATCACACGACTCACTCACTCACCCCTTCTCAAAAGGCCCATCCTATTTCAAATCTAATCCTTGGAACTCTTTTTTTTCTTTCCATCCTTTACTTTTTCTCTATAGTACTTATCATGCTCTAATATGCTATATAAATTGTTCATCTCCCCTTGAAAAAATAAGTGATATGAAGGCAGGAATTCCTATTTATTTTGTTCATCTCCAGTGCCTAAGAGTGCCTAGCACAGAGTAGGTGCTCATGAAATAAGTGTTGAATGATGAAACCATGTAAGTGCTTATAATTATGCCTGGCACATAGTAATGGTTTAATAATTAGCTATCATTACCATTATTTCCAAAGGGTTGATGTGATTAATAGGAAACACACATACTCATCTCTTATTTTGGCTAGTTTGGAGCAGGACTAAGACAAGGCATACTTACTTGCTAATACTTCTTTGTTGGTGGCACTCCTCTCTCCTTTAGGTGATTCTGTAGCAACAGTGTCTTGACTGGGCTCCTTAACTCTTTCATCAGTGAGAAGACTAACTGCCAGAGTGATGTCACCATTACTGGCCTAAAGAGGGAAAAAAATAAAAATAAAAACTTAAAAAGTAAAGCATCAGCCCTGACCCATGTAGCTTAGTTGGCTGGGCATTGTTCCACAAAGCAAAAGGTCACTGGTTCAATTCCCAGTCAGGGCACATGCCAGGGTTGCCTGCCAGCCAGTCCTTGGTCTGGGACATGCAAGAGGCAACCAATTGATGTTTTTCTCCCTCTCTTTCTCCGTCCCTTCCCCTCTCTCTAAGAATGAATAAATAAAATCTTTTAAAAAATGAAAAAGTAAAGCATCACAGCATTTAAAATAAGTAATGAGTTAGTTTTTTGTTTATAATTTCTTACTACCCTGGTGACATCCTGAGTAAGTCTAGGCATATGTCTAGGGTAGAAAGCAGAAAAAAAAAAAGAGGACAGTGGAGAATAGTAAGACATTGTGCTTAAAACATGTATCAAATTCCTGTTCACAGGAAAGGAGCTGCTATGCTATGACTGATCACAACATGCAAAAAAGAAAGAAATATTGCTGGTTATTTGCTCTCTCCACTTTGAATGCAACAATACTCCTCCTGATTTCACAGATACAGCATGATGTATTGAAAAGGGGGTTGGCAACTAACACAGAGATTCTAAATGAAGTCAGCCCCTACAATAAAAATGCCAAGCAGTTACCTATTCTGTAGTGGTGACCATACTTATATTTGTTTTCAATTTTTTATTAGGAAACTTTCTAACATTTACAATAGTGGAGGGAACATATAACTGAACACCATGTACCCATCACTCGGTACCAACAATTATCAAGGTGGCCAATCTTGTTTTACCCATCCTGCCCTCTACCCAGATATTCTAAAACAAACCCTAAGCATCTTGTCAGTTCATGAGTCAACACTTCAGAACACATCTTTTTAAAAATATAACCCACAATGCTATCATCACATCTTAAGAGTAAATGGCAAGTTTTTAAATAACAACCATTTCAAACTTCCCTGGTGCAAATATTTTTTAGTTTGTTTGTTTGAGTCAGGATCCATATATTCTATACCATGCAACTGGTTGATATTCCATAAATTTCTTTTACCCAGTAGGGTGCTCCCCTCACCCCCACTGCCAGTCTCCCCCTTCTAAAACTCCCCTATCCTTCTAATTTGCATGTTGAAGATACTCGGTTATTTGACCTGTAGAGCTTCTGTCCCTAAATACATTTTCATTCTGGCATTAAAATAGCTTGTGCTGACATAACTATGATATGGACAACTGTTTTAAAGCCCACTGACTAAAAGAAGCCTTGAAACTAACCTTCAGAGCTTCATGAAGGAAAGAAGGGTCTTGAATGCCCGTGATTTCTCTCAGCTGATTTAACAGCATTTGGCAGCTCTATATTCAAGAAACAAACAAAAAACCACAGACATATGTCAGTCAAAACATAAATTAGAACACATTTAAAGAATACAAGCATCTTAAATAAAAAGGCCTGAGACTTGTATTCTTCACTGTTGTGGGTGGGGGTAGGATCTCCTGGAATGTGCCACCTGCCATGCAGAATATTTTGAGCTGAAAACAAAGTGTTAGCAAAATAGGAAAAGTTACCTCCCCCTTTCCCACTGAAAAAGATTCAGACAGAAAAACTTGCTTCAGGAAGGGGACCTTAGCATAATCAACTTAGCATATTCACTTCAGCACATGTGAATGAAGTGTGTCCCATTATTTCTGAGTCACCTAGCAAGAATTTACTTGCCACTTTGTCCTCTACCTGTAAATTGCCTATTTCCCCTTGGGAATCTCAGGTTCTTCTTTCTTGTCCGGACTGACATATCTATCTCATACAGACTCAGTCTTTGGAGTTTTTATGCTTATGTGAATTCTCTGTGACACATATTAAAATCTGATTTTCTCTTGTTAACCTGCTGTTTGTCATCTGAATTATTCAATCAGCCAGAAGAACTAAAGGAGTGAGGGAAAACTGTCCCAGCCCCAACACTGCCCAGAAACATCACGATATGACACTCTATTACTCGCAAATGCTTTGGCACTCGTGGAAGAAATAGAAGTAAACAGTAAAACTATGAGTATACAAAACATTTAAATGTAATGTTCTAGCCTAAGGGATGCTTCAAGTGCCTCAGGCCTTTCTTTCTGTGAGCAGTATGTAAGTGAGTAGGTTCTATCTGGAACCCAGGGAGTGTGAACAGATACGAAGTTGTGCTATGTTACGTTTCACTGCACATGCCATTTCTATGTGCCGTTTTTCACTGACAATAAGTTTCCAATCATGTAATTAACAAATGACTATCACCAACATTATAGTTAAAACTTTAGTTTTAATTGCTTAAAATGAAGTATAGATAAAGCTAGAATTTTCTGAATTGTAAATAAAATTCCAGGGGGAATACACTATGGAATGCTTTCTCTTCATTGATCTGAATCATGGAAAAACCTATCTTGTACCACAAGATCAGTTTATAACCCTTTCCAGACGTAACATCTTCACTGGAACATTTTATCCTGTTTGCATGAAGACAAAAGTTAACCCCAAACAACTATTTACAAGTAAGCTCATTTAAACAATTGGCTGTCCAAATGAAGATAATAACTATTTAGATGAACACTGAAAATGAAATAGTTCACATTTAATTCAGTGAGAAGAAATCTAATTTATACTATTCCTAAGGTTATCCAAGAATTAGGCCTGGATTCAGTACTTGATGGTTCACATGAACTATTTTTCAGTTAGTAGCATGTCCTCAAGAGGCAGTGCACATTCACTGCCAGCTACAACAGCCACAGTACCGCATGTTCTTCAACAGCTGACGGTCTGGTGCAACACTTAAGTATCACACAACTAGAAATAACTAAATGAAACATCCCTGTAGTCAGTCCTTCTGTTCTAATCCCAGGCCGCAGTTGTAAGCTAGAAATGGAACCTGACCCTGCTGAGGCCAGCAGTCTTTGAGGCTATGAGTCTTGTCACAGGAAGTCATTGCCTGTGTCTTGGGAAAGTGACAGACAAGCAGGTGTCCTGATTTAGGCTTGGCAGATGCTGAAAACACAAAGCATGTGACTTTTAGAAAAATAAAATATTAAAAATTTTCTCCAAACTAATTCTAATTCCATTTGATTTTATTGGGTATATGAACCTATACATCTCAATCATACACAATTTTCTAAAAAATCAATATACCCCCAAAAGAGGTAGAAAGAATTGGAAGAGGGAAATGAGTATCATATGACATGTAACAGTAGCCAAAAAGATAACAATAGGATAGATAATTACATCTTCACCTCAAATTACTCTGTATGTGAACTGATACTTAAGACTGACAGAAAACAATCCCAGTAAAAAAATAATAAGTAACACAGGCTGCTTACTTTTAGCCAGGTGTTCTTCTAAACACTTCACATGTATTAACTAATTTAACCCTCACCACAAACCTGAGAGAGACATGATGACCATTTGACAAAAAAAAAAACTGACACAGAGAGGTGAAATAACTTATACAAGGTTACTGTTAGTAAGGGGTGGGGCTGAGATTTGACCCCCCAAGCTGCCTAACTGATTCTGTACTCTAACCTCTACGCTATGCAGTATCTGAAAAAACAAAACAGGCAACAGATCCTCTATGAGGCAGAAATATTTTACTCTTGTATTATGACTTCAACCTTTGCATCTTAACCAGTTTCCTATTTCTTTTGTCTACCTTCAAATAATCACAACTTTGATTACTTAAAAGTACAGTATGTTCAAACAAGCTATCATCGGGAAAATACTGTATTTGAAGTAAATACTATCTTTAACTGAATCTAAGCTGCATCAGTTATAAAAAGTATTTTATGCACTACTAAGGAGAAAATCTATTGCCGCTTAATCCATGACACAATGCCTTCATGACAGTCCTAGGAGACACATGGATTGGTCACACCAGTTTCTTGTAGCTCTAAAATTTTATTTACGCTGTGAAATATAGCAATTTCCCCTGCTTTCAGGTGCAGAGCCTGGCCTGTAGGCAATTCCTTTACATGTTTTTCAATAACAAAACTTAATATACCTATGGCATCATCCTTCCTTAAATCCCATAAAACACTTGATTGTAGCTTTGCAAGAAAATATGAAACTGTAGTCATTTTGTTTCACATAAAACCAAATTATATCCTGTGTTTCTGTTTCTATGCCTTTCTTTTTTTATTGACTGATTTTTTTTAGAGAAAGACAGAGAAACATGGACTGTTATTCCATTTGTTTATGCACTCGGTGGTTGAGTCCTGTGTGTGCCCTCACTGGGATAGAACCTGCAACCCCGGCGCACTGGATGACACTCCAACCAACGGAGCCGCTGGGCCAGGACCCCACGCCTTTCTTCACACACTTCTTTCCCCACTTAAATGTAGAGTCACAGTGTGATCTTTTTAAAGACACTTTAAATGGCAAGTAAACTAACCGTGCAGTACCCACAGTCATGTAAGTCAACTGCTGAGACAGTGATGGCAGGAACAGCTACAACCAAGCCCAGCATGTGCAGACAATGACGACCACATCCCATCTGGATGACAGGAAGTGGGAAGAGCATCTCGGCTTCAGAGACCTCAAAATGTCAAGTAAATGTGAATCGATGACATATGGTGTGTAAATACTACATAATTTGCTGATCATTACATCTGGCCATGGATTAAAGCCCCCTTCCCCTTTCTCTATTTTATAATAGGTAGCAGTGAACATCAATTCATCCAGAATAATACACTCAGGAAAGGGAAATACTTTTAGTTTCCCTTTTTTAAAGCTATTTGGCAGAGACAACTCTGTAAAATCATTTTTAAATTTATTTTTAGAGAGAGGGGAAGGAAGGGAGAAAGAGAGAGAGAAACATCAATGTGTGATTACCTCTCACGTGGCCCCCACTGGGGACCTGGCCCGCAACCCAGGCATGTGCCCTGACTGGGAATCAAACTGGTGACCCTTTGGTTCACAGCCCATGCTCAATCCACTGAGCTACACCAGTCAGGACTTTGTAAAACCATTTGTACAGCTCTAGGAACAGTGTTCTCCATGTTCATTCAAATCCCAATTCCTCATCTTGCTATTATTCAAAAGACCATTACCCGACTCTACCCTTACCCTGCTCAACCCTTTCTACTACACTATTCCTTACCTCACAAACTCACCTACCCTACACCCTCTCATGCCTTTGAAGTGTTACTTCTATTATTTCTTGTAGATTAACCATGGAATGCCAAGATTATAATCATTTTACCTCTCCCTTAAAGTCACTCCCAAGAACTCTGGTCCTTACTGCTCTCTCCCCCTTCTAACTTCTCCTGTTGAGGGAACAGATGAGCCTGTGAATGAATGAGACTGTGTTTACTGGGTATTTCTCATCATTTGGTTGTCTAATTGTTTTAAGTATGAAATGGGAATTATAAAACATACTACCTAATTTGAATTCTCCACAGAACAGTGCCTACAACAGTGGTAACTAACATTACTGAGCACCTTCTCTGTGTCAACAACCTTAGGAGCTTCACATACACGTAATCCTTGTAATAACCCTTAAAGGTAAGAATCATTATCTTCATTGTAGGAATTAGAAACTAAAGTTTACAAAACCTACTCTGTCATCAAATGTCTTGAATTAAAAGGTAAATCAAAGATAGCTATTAAGAGTTTGAATAAGATCAAAAACTATGAATGATAAAATGATAATAAACTCACAACTATCAACAAATGAACCTAAAAAAACACCTACACAAACTAGAATAGAAAGAGAGTCACAGAAATGGAGATCACATGTAGGGTTTTCAGTGGGGAGGGGGAGAGGAAGAAGTGGGAGGGAGTACAGGGAATAAGAAGCATAATTGGTAAGCATAAAATAGATGGGGAGAGGTTAAGGAGAGTGTAGGAAACAGAGAAACCAAAGAACTTACATGTACAACCCACAGACATGAACTAAGGGGCAGGGTAATGCTGGAGGTGGGGGAGAGGTGCAGGGTGGAGGGGAGATAAAGGGGACAAAAAATTGGGACAATTATAATAGCATAATCAATAAAATATACTTAAAAAGAGTTTGAATAACAAAGGATTAAGCTATGCTGTTGACACAAACAACTGCTATTACATGATTCAATCTTCATAAATATTCAGCTAAACTAAGTCTCAAATGGTACCCACAACTAAAATCCTAGTAAGTACTAGACACTGAATGTTAAGTTTACAGTAACAGACAAACTAAGATAACTAGGATCCTACTGTATTACTAATCCATAGTTTCTTCTGGAACTCCACGGGACACTGATTTAAATATTACCTTCACCACTGCGATGCTGCTACATACATATTATACACCCAACGTGAGACAAGACAAAGCCTGCCCTCCAGTCATAACCAC